TTTATATAAGTAGTAATTAAAAAGGTATTAAAGTTTTAAGCTAAGGGAAGTTTAATAATTATTAAGGACTAGCTTTTTAGCTATAACTAAAGGATATTAATATAAATATATTATTAAACTTAAAGAAGAAAAAGGAATTTTTTAACAAATTTCTTTTTTTAAATACTTTTAGGTCTAGTTTAAATTTAGCCTAAATCCTTTAGTTACCTAACTCTATAAAAGCTTAGGCTAAAGATAAACTAATAACTACTATCTTAGTCTATAACTAAAGTACTAATTATATATAAATTAAGGATTTACTATTATAATCTAGGACTAAAGTTTAGATATCTTAGTCCTTAAACCTTAATATACTAATATATTACTTAGCTAGTATATAAAAATATTTATTTAGCATTAAATAGAACTTAGCTTACTAGCTATTAATAATACTTCTTTATATTAACTAAGCCTAATACATATTAATTTACTATTAAGAGACGTAATACTTTAATAATGCTTAGTATATGCCCTATACAATCTGCTGATAATAAACCCAAGTATAGCTTAGTTTAATATAGTTAGACCCAACTATTATGTATATTATTTAAGAGAAATAAAACTTTAGTTTAAATATATATCTAGCCTACCTATCTATTTACTTATTACTACTTATTTATTATACTATATTTTAAGTAATCTATTTATATTACTTTACTAATACCCTTAATCTGCCTTTTAATAAAACTAGTATTATTAAAAAGTAAAGATTTAGGTAATTTATTTATTTTATTTTTAAAGTATAATTAGTTTATTTATTAAAAAGTCAAATATCTCTATAGCCAATACGCAAGGCATAGCTAATAAGGTCTTATATAATAAGAATAACATAATATAATACTTATTTTTCAGCATATTACAATGTATAGCGTCATACACTACGCCAAAGAACACAATAACCTTAATATTAAGTCTCAAGGTTATATAGCTACTGCCTTAAACCTTATGATCTAACTGAACAAGTAGCCTCGATCCACGAGCATAAAAGAGATGTTTTCCCCGGCCTTGGCAGGCCGTATACCCTCTCCGTCATCACCCTAAACAGGCAATCAGCACCAAGGCTCCAATACCAAAGGCCTAATTCCAAATAACCCAAGAACCCCCAAAACCATTACAAGATGCCCCGCTGCGCGATCGACATTAACAACGGCTAACTTGGCTATAATCCCCCGGGCATGGTAGCTACTCGTTACGTGAACGATCCTCTAACCAATATTAATAGTCTCTATCTTAATAATATCCTAAATTTATATGCCTTCCTTCGCAATCGGAAAATCACAAGCAAAGACCTTCTATACGTCGACAGATTACTGCCAAAACATTAAGTCAATCTGGCAATCTTTGATTGCAAAGTAAGGCTCCTTAACACATAAAACGGATCTATCCTTGGATATATTACAAGCTAAATGCAGGCCTTGGAAGACCTTGTTAATCGGCTGGAACAGGGTCAAGACCTATTGACAGAGCAACAGGTCTTTGTAACCCGAATCGCATTGGGCGGCGGCAATGGTGTATACTGGGCGTAGTTCATGGAGTTGAAATGCGCGGTCGCAGTGGTCGAATTGACGGTTTATTACTTATATATTTACTAATAGCTTATTTCTTAAAAAAGTTATATTAATTACCTAGTAAAAAAAGGAAATACTATTTACCTTAAAAAAATAAAAAAAATTTAATATAGCTATAAAGCTACTTAAAGAAAATTAGGCTTAAATTATATTTATATTTAATATATAAAAGGTAATTTATTTAAAAGGACTTTTTATAGGTATAGTATATAGCTATTAAATTTATTAAGAAATACTAACATATAAAAAAAGCTTAACCTAACTAAAAAAAGTTTTATAATAATATATATATTAGTATAATTAGAGCTAAAAAGAAGGTTAAAAAGAAGGTTTAGGGTAATCAGAAGGTAGTAGCAGAGTTAAGTTTATAAGTTAGTTATAAGGTTAGAAAATACACTTTAGGTTTAATACAATAGGAATCTTCAATTACTTCTGCGACCAGGAGGTTACATCTTGTGGGACGAAACAGGATTTACCAAGTTTAATGCTACGCCAATCACGGAAGCCTACCAGAAATGGATCAGTACGGATGTTCGGTATGGACTATCAGTCGGGCGCGATGTCACGTAAGCATTTCCTCCACTCCTCATCAAAGATCCGCTGACCTCCAACAGGAGCCCAATGCCACTCGAGGGGCACTTCAGAAAGGCTGGTTACGTCGAATGCTCACACATTGACTTCAGTAGCTTCAGTGAGGGACCTGAAGTTCGGAAGAGAGCTCGTCAACTATGCACGACAGGCCCTGAATGGTATCGCTGCCAAAGGAGAGTTTGAGTGGATTCACTCTCATGAAGATGTAGAGAAGCATTGCGACATTCTGCAAAAAGAGGTTGATGACGGTGTTTCGGTGATGGGATATGAGGTTCGGTGGACTATTGGACGGAAGCCGGAGTAATCTGATTTTGTCCTACGTCCTATTGGCTCTTATTCACCACTGATGAGATGTCCCTGATTGTCTGAATACTTGCATCCGATAGCTAGATATATTGAAGCTATTATCAGTGATTCACCAGCGTAACCGGCACTGAACTGCGGGCGATGCGCATTATTTGCATGACTCAACTTGGCCACCCAAGAAAGTGAACCCGGTGACGCTCGAAGTTCACAAGAAGAGCTTATGATAGCCACATTGAGGGGGTTCGAATATGTCTTGATATGAACTATGAAAGCTTCACTCAAGGAGGCGCCCAGCTTGTACGATGTTGTACAATCACTTGTTAAGTGTAAGATTTCAGTATAAATTCATCGAAGCCCGCCTTGGACATCTACTCCCAAATTTAATCCCCAACACATCTCGATTTTGGTAACTCACAATTATCCATCTATTACAGGTAAAATCCACCACCCAAGTTTTACGCAATGAAACCGTCCCGCAAAATCAACAAAATGAACAAAACGAACCACGTACACCGGTTTTCCATGACCGAAATTCCGAATATGTTGAAGCTCTCGGAAGCCCTCGACAAGATTTATGGAAAAGGTAACTATGAGCTAAAAACCACAGGACATCACGTCAAGCTGGTAGCCCCGGCTATCAAGAGGCCTGTGGAAGAACTGAGGAAGATGGGGGCTCTATCTCAGGACCTGAAGGTCGACGGGGGGCATACACAAAAGTAGGGCAAGGGAGTTCTTTGATAGTAGCATCGTAGTGTATTTTTAATAGGGAAACAAATAAGGAAGAATTTTAAGATCATGAAATGAAAGTAAGGTAAGGGATAAGATGATGGGTAAGTGTTAGAAAGGTGACTTTAGAGTCCGTGAACAATCTCTCCTGCTTCTTGGGGAGATGAAGTAGTTGGCCCGGTCTGCTCCCCCTCAAGTTGATCATCCAACATTGTCGCAGTAGTAGTCGTACTTCCAGTGTCAGTCCTCGTCGGGACCTGAGCCTTGATGTACGGAAACTCTCTGGGCGTTGGTTTGAGCCCCTTAGTCTCTCGACCGCCGTCATCTTCAACAACTCCCCCTCTCCGATTCTGCCATCCTTCAAACATAGTTCTTAGAGCGTTTTGCACACTTCTCTGAAACTTTCTCTCCATCTCACAGCTACTATTATTATCTTCATTCATAACGACGCCTGACATTACTAATTGTTCCATTATCAAACTCGTCCCGCGACCTTCCATAAACTCGCGAAGACTCTCTGCATCCTCGGACAATTCGCCATTCAGATACGCCGATTTTGGTCTTTCCGCATTTGGGAAAATAATACTATAGATATCGAACCACTGATCACTTTCTGATTTGTTCGGGCCTCCAAGCCGCGATCGCAGTTTGCGTTCTTGTTCGGGAGTAATGCCATCTGGGGCAATATACTCTCGCCTCTCGCATACTTGGGCACGGCGATGCTCTCGAAGCTCCTCGATTGTAGGCCATGTGCTAAGACATATGTCGCAGTGTATGGGCTGCATATGGCAGCGGAAGAGATGTTGCTTGACGTAGCTATTGCGCTTGAGGACGTGGGAGTGACAGCGACGATATTGAATCGGGTCGTGCTTATAGAATGGGCAAGCCAGCCTGAGGTGGGAGTCCTCTTGTCTTTTAGGCTTTTTCGCCCGCGATACTTGTTGGTGTTCGTTCTCGTCGTCTTGAGCTGCACGCTTAGGGGGGTGATCCTTGTGCTGTACTAAAGCGCTGGTTTCTGTCGCCCCTGTACCACCATTCTCAGTAGCTGTACGCTCCTCCTGACGCGTAGATTCGTTCGCTTCGCCGCTGTCATCGTCGTCTCCATCACGGGCCTGATCGTGCTGGTCCGAATAGGTTGTCTCTGGGTACATCCCATAGGCCCAGCCAGAGCCTTGCAAGCTCGATAGAGTTTGCTCGATTTGATAGGACTCGTAGGCACTCTCTGGCATGTCTTCAAATGAGTCTACGGAATCCCGGTCAGACCCATCTGAGCTTGGTGATGTGATATTTGTGTTACTTGGTGACGGGCAGGAGACCGGAGACAAACTGCCAGAGGTGTCTGACGAAGAGTCTGAAGCAGCATCCTGGGCGTCTTCATCGTAACCATAGTCTCGGATCGCGAGACCGCGTTGTTTCAAAGTTGCAGTTTCGTCATCAGCAGATGAACCGCCGGCAGCATTGTCAACGGAGCGCGTGCTGCAGCTACAGCTTATCGTTTCATCTGATAGGTTGAATGAAGGCACGGACGACACTGATGGTACATCTGTGACAGGTTGTAATAGTCGAACCTCCTCAGTCTTTTGTTGGAGATCGGTCAGCCAGGCTAGCATCTCCTTCGGTGATCCAACGTCGACAGGGATTTCTTTAGCGTCCTGATCCTCTCCCATAGGAATTGACTGCGGCGATTGAACTGACTCATCATCGTTGTCAAACCACCTTCCGATGCAGTCGCGTTCACTCTCATCACTGAGACTTCGGACCATGGTGATGCGCTTAGAGTTATGTCGGTGAATAATGCCGTACTTGAGGCTCTTTTAAATGAAGTCGAAGAGTCACACAGCCTTGTTTGCTAGTCCTAAACAATAATAGCGGACGAAAATAGAGGATATTTGACAAGGCGACTGATTGCCTGATACTGTCACGAGTTTGAGAGTTTCCTCTCCAATTGATCACGGCGTAATGACGTCGGAGGCAAGAGGGGAACAGTAAACGGGCGCTTCGGTACAATCACTGAAAGCCAATTGATGGGCGAAATTGCTTTTGATTGATGGTGAGCCTCAAAACGTATGATGTTGGGTTGAAAATACAGCAGGCGGTGGGAGCCTAGGAGGCAATGGTTGAAAATGAATGTGTGATGATGACACTGCCAGCGCATGAAACCCTCTATCACAAAGCCATCAGTCGCGTGATAACACAAAGACTTGTCACTGGACGAAAGATATCACGTTTGTGATTTCAAGTCACACTAATCCCTGCAAGATGGCCTCAAAATTGTGACGTGGCGACTAATCTCACGCCTGGAACCTGACCTTTCAGAGCGGGGTTTTTCCACTTGGACACAAAGACCTGCAGACCCCATGCAATGCACAGTCTCCTGCTATCATTGCGCTTGTCACAGTTGTGATTTTGTGTCTACTGCCACGCGGCTTTGCTTTCACCTCCCATCACAATTGTGACAAAAGCCCTGGAAATCCAGACCTCCTTTATGTCTGTTGAGGCACCATCCACACACACTACGAGTAAAACAATGCTTTGTTGACCTATAGTAATATGAGGCATCAACCTCCCCACCACATTGTTGAGAGCTTTGGCACGCTTGTGCGGCTATGTATGTGCGTCCGATTGAGAGAAGCCCTGATTTGGGACTCCTGAATCATGTCGCTGTCTGTGATTTCCCTGGTTCTGCGTGTATTTAATCCCATCCATCACCAATATGCAACGAGCTTTCCAATTCATTCGACATTCGATATTCGACATTGCAATCTGACGCGAAAGCTCAAAAAAACAAAAAAAACATCAATCACATCTCCAAAATGTCCACCCCTTCCGGATATACTCCATCAGGTGCTTCGGCAACCAACACCTCTACCGTCGCAGTGGCCGGTAGCTTTCAGAGCTCGTAAGTTATTATCCACAATATTTTTATTCCCCAATAATCCCGACAACGGATCAAGAACACAGACACGAGACGGCGCGAATCAACCAACCTCCTACAGTATGAACCGATATATCTATGATACGCAAGCACGCCCTGTCACCGATCGATTGGTCTACACTGCAGGCTATTCACAGAATAACCCACCCCAGGGCAGATAGATGATGGATGATAGGAAGAAAGCACATGATGAATCACTGATAGTTGGATGAAAAAGGTTAGCATTTTCTCGCTTATGTAGATGAATGTGGCTAACTTTTCATTCACAGCTTCAATTGTTCCTATTTCTTATATACCCGATGTCATTATAAAGCCCATACGACCGTCTTATCGAGGTGGAGGAGGAGTTATCAACGTTTATCTGGTCACCGTTCATATTGGGGCTTAGCCATCTTGAGTCTTGGCCTCTTTGGCTGGCCAAGGGTCGTTGATGAAGATTGACTTGTCCATGGTACGGTGTCATTGTTCGGAGTTAAGGAGTCTAAAACACAGTTTGTACTATCTCGGTTATACCTCAATACTACATCCCACTCAATATCATCTCATCCTTCTATGCAGCTGTGAAAGATTCAACCTTGATCGAGCCTCCCAAAGCTGTCTCGGCATAGTTGAAGATGCCGAATCGGTAAGCAATGAAGAATGCCCAGCCATTGTACAGCTTGAAGTTGGGACCAAGTGTTTCATACTTGACGCCATCCCAACTGTAGGAAAAGACCGTGTTGCCAGTTCCGGCGGGGTTGGTATCAAGCTGAAGTCTCAGCCAGATCTTGGTTTTTCCAGAAGGCACATCAGAAGTGGCCTTTATTTGTCCAAGGTCTGTTGTTTGTCCATCCCATTCTCCCATGTTCATCCCATGCTTCGTAGCGATTGTGAATTTTCCATTATCTCGATGAACACCGATGTATGCACTTTGGTCTCTAAACGCTGAAAGTCCAGCCCGATCGCCGTCCTTCATCTGGGAGAAGTCAATCTTCACTATTCCGGTGGGATGATCACCGTGAGTTCGGTGAGATAGCGTGTTCCTCGCCTGGTAGATATCCTTCGTGACGCTAGCAGTGCGAAGAGTAAGGCTGTTGTTGACAGTGAAGGAGTTAACGTCCGGGTTATGATTCCACTCCCAGGACGGAGCAAGTGAGGTTCCGCGGAAGGTATCAGTCCTTGTCCAGTTCTTTGTCACACCGTTCGTGCCAGGAAGCGTTGGGTAAGATGATCCCCATCCGCCATTAGCACCCTTGACAAGAATGGGGAAACCATCGCTACCCCACGTAATCGGTGCAAGAACCGGAAGACGGCCGGCAGGATAGGCCCAAGTGAATGACATGAAGTACCAGTCACCACTGGGAGTCTTGATGAGACTACCCTGATGAGGCGAGTTACCACCCGAGATAGGTGGGGTGACCTTGTCGGCGAGGACCTTGGACTCATAAGGGCCCCAGGGTGACTTCGACTTCCAAATCCAGGTTTGACTACCACTTGGACTATCGTTCAGGATATAGTAGAGCCCATTAATCTTGTACATACGGTTGCCCTCCAAGTCTTGGACACCAATATCAGTGTTCTTGAGAACTACCTGGGATTTGACCTGACTGAATCCGTCCTGGGATAGCTGAGATACTTTGACCTCACCAGAGCCGTATACGACATACATTGTGTCATCATCGTCGATCAGTATACCATTGTCGTAGTAGCAGTTGTTATCGCCGAAATTGCCCTTGTTGTACCAAGGACCTTCGGGCGATGAGGCGGTAAACACCCAGGTCTGCCAGAAGTTGATGCAGCCGATCCAGTACCACTGTCCATTGCTCTTCCTGTATCTTAGGGATGAGGCCCAAGTACCCCCACGATAAGAGCGTGAGCCAGGAGGAAGATCATAGCCGTCGCCAAAGGTCAAGCGGGGAATTGAATGGCCGATGAGATCCCAGTTGAGCAGATCTTTGGACTTTAAAATGGGGGCTCCAGGGCTGAAATGGAAGTTGGAAGCCGAGAAGTAGTAGTAGTTGTCCGGACCCAGGAATACATCGTTGTCTGGGAAATCTGAGTAGATGATGGGATTGTTAAAGGTAGTGGCACGGGGGTGCCCAACCAAGCCAGCAAGTGCTGGGGGAAAAGAAGCCGCCAGAGTGGCAAGCGAAGACAACTTCATTTTTGCGAGATAGCCAAACCTACATCAGTGCTATCCGACAATATTCAGATCAAGGAACTTATAAAAAGGCGAATCGGAAGTACCGAGTCTAATACTATCAGGCGATGCCAAGCTCGGACCCCCGGCCATAAGTAGCAACTTCGGTACATGGTTCCGAATGTGCCAAACTCGGGACATGGAACGAGATTCACCCTGGCCAATATGGGTATCTAGCATGTTGCATCGACAAGAACGGATAATTTAGGATGTATTGGGTTGCATTCCAGCATTGCATGGCTGGGGTCTTTCTAGACCTGGATGGTAGAAGCCGTCGACGGAGCAGTGAACTAGCTAGCTTAGTAGATATGTGCATCCGGTATGCTTTGCCCGCTCAGTGATCTGCGGAAGTCCATGACAAAGAGACGGAAGACGGGGCGACATTCCGTAAGTGTGCCCTTTCATTCAGACAAAGACGCAACCAGAAGAAGAACAGAGCAATTAGGCACGACTGATGAAACAAACTTTCTCTCCATTAGATCAATCACTGTCTAGACTATTATTAAATGCAGCTTCTGCGGGTAATGAGACACAAAATGAGACAAAATATTAATCCCGAAGGTCAACAACAACCTTCTCACTGCTAACACCCTTGGGGAATAGAAGACCCAAAGCGTCATTGATTCCACCAAGCCCTCCAGGAACCTTTCTAGCAGGCACAGAAATAAGACTCTTGGTAGCAAGAGCCTTGGGGAAATATGTGCCAAAGATCCAGTTCAGCAGCTCTGCATTCTCCTCCTTGCCGAGTAGCAGAGACCAGCCCTCGAACTTGCGTGTGACACCAGTGGGGAGAGTTTCGGGACCAAATGGTGGTTGGAGAGCGTAGACTGAGTCGCCGCCCTGAGCTGCGACAACGTCAGCGAGAAGCTTGACTGTAGCTCCAGTCGAGATTGTGTCGAGAACGATATCGTAGGGGCCAGCGGCGATGAGGTCCTTAGTAAGGGCCTCAGGTTCTTGAGAGTGATCAATGATCTTGGAAGCACCAAGCTTGGACACAAAGTCCTTGTGCTTAGGAGAGGTAGTGGTGATGATTTCGTATCCAGCTTGAGTGAGATATTGCACAGTCATGCTTCCGATACTGGAGGTTCCACCGTAGATTAAGATGCGCTTTCCCTGAGGCTTGGGTTCCTGACCAGGGACAGGTCGCTCCAGCTTGAGGGTATAGTTGAAGATGGCAGGAATGGTAGGAAGGTTACCAACAAGGCGAACAGCAAGATCCATGGTCTCTTCATCGTCAACCTTTGTAGTGGTGACTTCTGATGAGATAGAATATTCTTGGAAAGCACTGTACTTGCTATCACTAGCTCCAGCGGTCTTCATGCCAACAGCCTTGTCACCGACCTTGAAGTCTTTAACATCGGAGCCGACCTTTTCGACAGTGCCGGCGAAGGAACTGCCGAGAACAGTTGGGTATGGAAGGGGAAGCATAGCGACCTTGGCGATCTTAGCGTCGATTGGCTGGATGGCGATGATGTCGTTCTTGACGAGGAGTTCATTGGGTCCAGGCTGGGGAGTTTCGATCTCCCGGACCACGAGAGGGGCCTTGGCAGCGGGGACTTGAGCGGCGAGATGAGGCATAATTAAGATGACAGGACTGATGTGGATATTTATAGAGTGTTTTTGTAGTAGATTGTGTTTTGGATAAGTATGAAAATATAGTTGTGGTGGTGACTGGAAGCTCGATAGTGAAGTATTATGTGATTGAGATGTTAAGTCCATGATAGTCGGAACATTGGTTTATTATATAGCTCATTTTCATCCAAAGGAGATGTTAGATCAAATGAACCAATTTGACTCTGTCTATGGTGCAATTACTCTACAATCTGAAGGATTCACGACAAACTTCATACAGCATCACCAACCTCATAGGGTAGGTTGCTTATGCGGCAGCGAAAAGATCCGGAATTCCATTCTCTCCATCATTGGCCCTTCGGTGTCTTGGCATTGACCGGGCGGGGCGCTTCGCTCGCTCGGCGTTCGATTGGTGGGTTTGCTCATTCTTTTAAAGCGGGGTAGTCAAATGCGCTAACTGGAAGTACTTCTTCATTTGCAGCAATATCGTGGAGACCATATGTACTCTGTGATAAACACCTGCAGATTATGCGATACTGAGTGATTGGCCAGCTTTACGAGGCTACTAACCCGAAAGCGCCTTAGCTTAGTCTCAATCGGCATCTGTCGCATCTCCGAAATGTCCACTGTCTTTTCCATCCTCTTCGCTCTTCGAGACATGGAAATCCGACATAGTCCACTCTTAGCAAGCAAGTTAGAAATCGTCGATGGAGTTGGTTCAAGTTTGCGATCTTGTTTCGAGATCGTATCTGACTAGTATTGAATACATATATAGGCCCATCATGGCCTGCTTCAGTCAATCTCATCACCATCAACAGCAATACAACAGCACAACAAGCAGTAAACACTTTCATCAATCACCAGCCTCCACCAACAACTACTCAACCTCACTTTAAAAAAACAGCTTACTTTAATATTTTCACCACTCCAAAATCACAACAATGTCTCGTGCTCTTCTCATCACTGGCGCCACTGGCAAGCAGGGCAGCTCTGTCATCAACGCTCTTATCGCAAAGAACGCAGACTTTCTTCTCCTCGCTGCCACCCGCAATAAGGAATCACCTTCCGCAAAGAAGCTAGCCTCCAAATCTACAAACATCAGGCTGATTGAGGGCGACCTCGACTCAATCCCCGCTCTCTTCACTGCCGCTAAGCAAGCTGCCGGAACTGTGCCTCTCTGGGGCGTCTACTCAGTCCAATTGTCCATGGGCAAGGGCGTTACCCTTGAGGGCGAAGTCCGACAAGGAAAGGGTCTCATCGATGAATCGATCAAGGCTGGCATCAAGCACTTTGTCTACTCCAGTGTTGATCGGGGCGGCGACGAGAAGTCTTGGAAGGACGCCACTGTTGTCCCTCACTTCAAGACCAAGCACGAGATCGAGCATTACCTTCGCGACTCCACCGCCAACGGAAAGAGCCCAATGAACTGGACCATCCTGCGCCCGACAGCATTCATGGAGAACCTAGAGCCCGGTTTCGCCATAAAAGTCTTCCTCACCATGATTCGCGACACTCTCGAGAACAAACCTCTTCAGTGGACGGCAACAGAAGATATCGGCTTCTTCGCTGCTGAAGCTTTCACAGACCCACAAGCCTGGGGAAAGCAAGCTATCAGCTTAGCTGGCGATGAGCTTACATTCGCGCAACTCAGCGAGGCTTTTGAGCACGCCACTGGCGGACCTGCTGGTACGACATTCGGTCTGCTCGGAAAGGCTTTGAAGCATGGCGTTGCCGAGCTCGGAATCATGGTTAATTGGTTCAGAGATGAAGGTTATGGTGCTGACTTGGCCAAGGTTCGACAGCTGAACCCTGGTGCTAAGACGATGGAACAGTGGGTTAAGACGAGTGCTTTTGTTAGCCATTAATAGATGGGGGATAGTGCCACACAAAGAATTATTTGGAAGTTTGAGCTTATAGAAGAGGGGTCTTACAATGGGTTTCACATTTATTTAAGAGATAGAACAATTTAATTATCGAATGATCATTGACAGTCCTTGACGCGTCAGTCCTTTATCTTCCAACCTTGAAGTTTAAGCAAACGCGTTCACATTACGCAGCACTTGTAACTTCGAGCCTTTTGGCCAATAGGCTATCTCTGCCCCTCACTTTACAAACCTTATAGGCTGGGTCTTTGAAGACACGAAACCCAACTTTTGCTTTTCAGGTCGTCATCAGTAACATTTAAGCAGCCGTATGCCTCCCATACCCAGGTCCAACCACTCGTGGGAGCCCGCCCTAACAGCCAAAGCAAGATGACCACTCCCCTGAGAATAGACATAGAAGATGCACTCTCGTCCAGTTCCGAGGATGAGGTCCAAATTCTCAACCCAGCAATGCTAAGTACCTCCAGCTTCCCGCAGTTCAACAAGCTTCCTCCTGAACTTCGCCAAAGGATCTGGATACAATCCCTTACCCACGAAAGAATCCTCAAAATCTATAGCGCGAAAGACCATGTCGAGGTTAGAGAGCGCGTCGCCATCAGCAAGCTCTTTAGTACCAACCGCGAATCTCGTGCCTCCGCCAAGAAATTCTACCGAGTTCATATCCCCTGCACATATGTCCATATGACCAGCACCTACGATGGAATCCTTTACTTTCACCCAGAGCTCGACATCATACATATTTTTGAGTGGGCCCATTTCCCAGAACTCTCACATCATGTCTGGAGTCTTGATCCCCTTCACGTCGGCATTGTCAACCTGGCTCTGCAGACCTATGGGAGCTGCTGCAGATATCATGATCAAAGCAGCTCGTTTAAGACAGACTGTGACTTGGACAAAATCAAAGCGGCCAGCCAGCGGTTGAGGAGATTCATCTTCGTATGTCATGGCGTGTATGATTCTGAACCCTGCCAATACCGCGAAGCTCGCCGAAGACCCGACATTGACAATCCCAGCAACCCTTTTGTCCCTGTGAAACCACATATTCCTGCATTTCAGACCATGAAGCAGGACCCTAGGGCCGTGGGCGACTTTCTTGATGGTGTAGATCGCATCGAAATAATGACGGTACGAGGCGTTGCGAAGGATTGGTTCCAACATCTTGAAGAATGGGGAATTGATAACGACCCTACAGTTCTTTACCAGATAATGATGAGCTACCCAGATTGCGATCCAGAAATCATTGTTGAAGAGAATTCGTGCTGGCCGCATGATGTGAGCCATGAGCTGTCGGATCTATCATCTGAAGATGACGCTTCTACAAAGCAAGTTCAGGCAATATACCGTAGAGAGGATGCAGTCGCATTTGCTGAGAATGAAATGGAGGAAAGGAAACGTATTCGGGAGCGAATTTTAGAATTAGAAAGCGAGGAGGACGCTGAGGGCGATGAGAAGATACTCACACAGGATGCGACACCAGCGTTTGGATTCTGGCTATTCCCTTTGGAAGCGGTACCTGTGGTGAGAGTTACAGCCAACAATGAGGTGCTGATTGGGGAGTTCTACACAGAACTAGAGAAACAGTTCAAGGAGAATCCCCCGCAGCTATGTTTGTCTCATCTTCCAGACAACAATCCTAAGATTCTCACACCGTGAGTGTACTGAGAAAGATGATGCTGACAGCGCACGAGACAGAAATTGACATCGCTAACACGAGTATTGAAAATAAACGATCAATCGAGTGAACTTCAGAATATCCCCCGTGCGAAAATACATGTATGTTAGAGACAAGAGAGCGAGATTCAACTAAATAATCCTGTACACTTTACAAAGACCACATCATTATGCTATTCTAAAACACAAAAAGTCCTTTAACTGCCTTCACCAAGTTCTGGGCTAATAGCTTGTGGATAGCACCGCTGGCATGGTAGTCATCTGCCCAAAGACAGTTACTTGCGCCGAAGCAAGTAGCATCCTTGGCACCGTATGCCGCATAATTACTGACAACCTGGTCAAATGAGGGCTTCGTATCGAAGATCTGAATTTTGACATTTGGGTGAGAGGATATGAAACTAGCTGCCTTGGATTTGACTGCGTTGTTGTAGGAAATGATGTCAGATCTTAGGCGAGCCAGATCAACTTCCGGCTGACCTATTATCTTGGGGAACTGATCTGCGTATGCTTCATCAAGAGTCAGACAACATGACTTTCTTTTTCAGATGCTCGAGGCTTACCAGGGATACTCAGTAAGACGAATTTGCTGTAGCCATCGTTGACAAGAACCTGCAGGAGCTCAAAATATCTGTTCACGCATTCTGTAACAAGAGCACTCTTCTTGCTCCAAAACGCCTCACCCACGTCGTTGATACCAATCCAGAAGGCGACGAGACTGTCAGCTTTTGTAATCTTAGGCGCCACATATTGCTTATAGAGGTCTACCTGCTCCGACATCGAGTACTGTGCCCATGAGTTGACGATCTTCTTGTCGACAGTCGCTCCGCTATAAGCAAAGTCGTATGTGAGGATCGATGATGTGTTGAGAGTTGACGTGACATGGCCGACCCAGTTGAGACCAGCAGAAGTCGTCTGCCCTGGTAGTCCGGGGTTCCCGATGTGGCTGGAAGCTGATGGCAGTTGTCCTCCAGGCCAGAACCCCACGGTTGAATATGAATCTCCACTGCGCTATTGATTAGTCTGCAATCATTTTACCAGTAAGTATAACCTACAAAACAATAAGGTTCTTCGTAGTTTGGGCGGCCATCGAAGCAACTGGACTAGCAAGAGCTTCAGACACGCCAGCTGCCAGAAGAAGACATTGATCGAAGAGCTTCATCTCAAGGAACAGGCGTGACAATCGTTACAGAAAACAAGATTATCCAATCTTCCATGACCAGAGTAAGTTATTTTCAATTTATATATTAATTCGCTTGCTGCAAAATACCTCCAATTCAAATACATTAACCCGATGTCGTATGTCGCGGAATGCAAGGTCCGATTGGTGGGATATCTCACCACGCCAGATGCTCAGAGTCCTCTCACGTATGCGATTCTTTCCGGCATGACCACTTCGTATCTGGATCGGCGCACGAAGCTGTGGTATCGCACCGAATTGAATATTTTGTGAGCGGACAAATGCATTTTTCCGAGGCGTGGTGGTGAGCGAATGCATCGACCTCAGCACTTGTTGACAGTATGTCCTAGTTAACCTCACCAATATACTCCATGTAAGTCAGCACTTTTTGGTTAGAAACTGCCGAGACTTACCTTACACAGAATGTAATATTTCAAAGTGAATAGCGAAGACATCAAGATGGCACAAGGCAATGTTCTAGTGAGGGTCTTTGTTTTGAGCTCCTTATCTACTGCCCAACTAACGACCGCTTCGTCGTATCCGATCACATGATGAAGAAAAAGGGTAAGCGACCAAGAAAAGTGTCTGTAGGAGTAATCTGCATCTGGCGTGAGGTTTTAGGGCTTACACTGAGCAGATCTTGGCGCTTGTGTAAGACAATGAGATATGAAGGATCGAGCGGAACTGGAACTATCGTTCTCTTCCTCAAAGCTAGGAAGATGACTCCATTAAACTATTCCAGAAGTCGGGCTCACTATTTGGTGCCACTGGCGTATCAAATCGGGCTCCTTCACAAATCCGAAGGAGTTCGGGGCAGCGTAATCGCTTACGCTCTAAATTCTGACTACAGTCATCCTTCGCAGAATAGCATGTCCCGGCGTAATACGCTGCTTATCGCGGGGACAGAATAAGGCTAGAATAGGTAGGTGGTGTCGCACGCGCCCTTTCTTGTCATATCAAGATTGGCAGGGGTCTGTATGAGTTATAAGCGTCGTAGACGCCATTTCAACGCCCCAGATTTCCCCTAACCATACGCTGTAACTCCTACGAAAAGTATCCAATCGTGAGACAAAATGCCTGCCATGGTTGCTAAAAGGCCGGGACTCATGCAAATCTCGGTCTCGCGAAGTGCCGAAGAGCAGAGGTTGATCCCTGCATATTGCAGCAACCTTGCTCGCCGCGCCAAAGAGCTTGAGACTTTTCGCAAACATCTTTACGCGGATGCAAAAGGTGGTGAATTATCCTTTGGGATCATGGAGCGCATCTCACCACATGCTGTTGCGGTGTCAAATCCTCTGTTCTCACGACTTGAGCAGCTTCATGTTCTTCTCGGCCGTGTTTTCATTGATATCGTGGATCGATGGTTCACAGACGAGAAGGCACGCTTTCCGGAGCGTATGTCATTGGATCCATCGGAAGAGGAGCTTCTACGATGGGTGGTATCTAGTGGCTACGTTCCAGACTACGCCGAACATGCTGGTTGCTGGCGAAGTGACTTGCTATTTGGTCGCAGTCCAGATGGTTTGCGAGACGAGTCACCGTATGTATGCGAAATCAACGGAAGACTGCCTCTAAATGCCGTCATGGGAATTGCTCTGGGTGAGAATGGCCTTCGGGAACTTGGTGCGAGTAAAGGAGGACTTGAGCCTGTGAATAGTATGGATATGAGTGCTAGGCCTATCTTCTACGCCCTAATCTTAAGCTTACACTCTGTCAAAATCTAGGCCTCGTATGACAACTTGATGGCGCTATTTAACCCTGACAAGCCGCTTTACTCTATCAGAGATAAATGGCCTGGCGCTGACTCCAAGATTCTCTCAGCTGTCAACGTTTCACGTGGAAGGCCGCCAGTCGAGGCAGTTCGTCCTCAAGACTTGGAAGTTCGCCCTAATGAAACTTCTCTAACTGGATTTTCTCTGTGGGACAAGGCGACGAACAAGCTCTTGGAACAGTGGTTTGTTGAGATGCTGCAGGAAGAGTATGCCGACCTGGAACCAGCTGTCGCTCGCCAACTGTCCTTGACTCCTCTCAATGATCTTCGAACGGTATTCATCGTGCATGACAAGCGACTCCTTGGCATCATACCCGAAGAGCTTCCGAAGATGGTCTCACGTGGTGTTTTGACCGCCGAAGAGGCCGAATTCGTTGCTGATGGGATCATCCAAACCATCAATCCAGGTTCAGAAGGACGTCAAAATTTGCTACGAGATTCAAAATCCGACCCGAACCTCAGGAACAACTACATATACAAGCCTTGTCGTGATGGCATGGGTCATGGTATAGAACTGGGTAAGAACCTTACGCAGGAAGCTTGGCTCGAACATCTAGAGAAGCTCGCAAACCCGGATGTTCTTCGACCCCATGACGATGCAGCTGTCATCCAAAGGCTGGTAGATCATAATTGGTATGACGTTGTTCGTCATGGGGTTTCGACGGATGATGGACCGCATCCTAACAAGTTCTATCTCATCGGATCCATGTTCATGTTCCAGAATCGCAAATTCTATCCAGCTACTTGGCGTATGGGCCTTGAGACCCATCTCGGCATCACTTCCGATAAACCTGGACTAGTCATGGCGATGGTGCACCAGCCCGACTGGCCAATTGGAGAGGACCAAGAGGAAGAGCTATGAGTTTTATTGATCAGATAGAGAGGTGGGGTTTTAGGCGCCCTCTAATAAAGAACTTGCATTGGCCCATATCTCCTCGCACTCTCTGGTAATGTTTAATAGTGATCTGGAAATATTAGATCGCCAACCGTTAGAGTAAAGCTCCTTGTTCGAAGATTGCCGACCCAGACGCAGTGTGCCACAAGCTTTTTCGTTGGACCAAGCTAGGCCTGTTTCCGAGAGGCGCCTGGCACTAGACAGGATGATGTCTCGTGGCAGCCAATTGTTGTCGAGCACAAAGTTTCTCTTGATCTTGCGGCGCGCTAGAGCAAACTATTGATTTGGGGGAGATGAGATGGTCGTCATCAACCCCACGTCACAATACAACGTACCTACAGTACAGTCGCCCTTCATTGAATCTTTTCTACATTTCTTTGGCTTTTTGTTTTCCTATTCGTTACTCGACTCAGTCACTCGTTTGCGAATTCCCATCGTGCTCAGGATGCGATCTAAGATCGTACTGTTGGCCATTGGCCTTCTTGTCGCAGACTCTGCGCTAGCCAGTCCTTGCAAGCCCAGGTCCTCCAGTACGTCGACAAAGAAAGCAATGCTGAATCCAAGACTGGAAAATGGCTAATCTTGGAGTTTTATCTAGCTTCGGAGCATGCAATCTCAACCTCTGCCGCTTTTACAACCACCGAGGAATCATCCACTGTTTCATTATCTGAACCATCCATCGAGACTGGCACAACCATCACAACCGCGCCAGGCACTACTACAACACCTAAGGTCGAGACAACAACCGCGGCCGAACTTGCCACCACGACGGCTGACTCTGAGACAACAACTGCTGAGGAATCTACCACTACGGCAGTCGAGGCTGAGAGCGCGACCACCACCGCCGTAGCCACCCCAACATTCACCATTGTCGGCGGCGGTGGCGCTATACAAGGCGCGCCCCTCAAAGGTATCGACCAAGATGGTAGCATCCTGCTATTCAACCCTCAAGTCGGAAACGGCCGTACCAGAACGATGATCCTCAACCCCGACACAGGCCGACTGCGAGATAAAGATACTGGAATTCTCTTGTGCGCTTATTACGGCTCTGCCAACTCGCCCGATGACCCTGCCAACATTGCCTTTTGCCAGAATGGCAACACCGGTCTCAACACCCCTTACGAGTATATGACCTGCCACATCACCAGCGGCAAGCTCTCTTGTACAGCCCCGAAAGGCCAATGCCCCACTGACGATGACGGCAACTCCCTAGGCTGCACCACTGAAAGTTTCAGCGGCGAAAACAATCAGTTTTATTACAAGGCCCAGTCAGGCGTCGGTGATTACTTGTTCATCTCTAGCGGTAGTCCTGCTGGCTACACAGCTGTCGACATTATTGCCCAAGAAGCATGAGTTGTTAAGACGATCATAACATTTGATTCATACCCATACTTACAATAATTGATAACTGTACATAACATGTCTTATCCCTGATAATACCTTGCAACCTCCAGATAATCTTGCTCTGTGATATCTCTGTCCCTAGACTAACTGTATCATATCCACGCCAGTACGCCCGAACTCATCCCAGCCAGTAAAGCGATCATATCCTTCCCCGTACATCACTCCATGAACATATGCCTCCCCAACAACACGATACTTGGAACCTTCGATGTGATGCAGAATAAAGGGTACTCGAGCCCCCATCAAGATCCATACTTCATCCTTGCTGCTAGTCTGGCCGAGAGTCTTGGGCCCCAGGCCAAGCAGTCCCGACTCCGTCATGAAAAGTTTACGACCTTGAGTAGCATTCCGCATGTGCTTTTCGAAGTTGCGTAACTTTCTCCGTCCCAGTGGAGTAAGTCTTTGCATCGAAGGTCGCTTATACTTGCCCCCCAGCGGGTCCTTGTCTTGTTCGTCTTCTTCCACTGCGGGAGCTGGAAAGCTTTCTCGGATGAGTCGTGCCGAGGGAACAAGCCCGTTTCCAATGAATTGCTGCCTCCAACATGAGATTTTCTGTCACTTCCTCCCTCTTTAGATGATTCCTCTTCATCCTCTCCATCGTCGCCTGGCTGTCCTACTTCCTTTTCAACCTTTTCCCTAAAATCCGCTATAGCTACTTCAATATCCGGCGCCTGTAGTTCATCGGACAGCTGCCGTGCATCATAAATGGCCGACCAGAGAGCCAAGCGAGTAGTGAACGACTTTTGAATCAGTTCCCAAGTCCACGATTCCGAGCAACGCCCTGACCACTCAGCAAGCAAATCGCGAGCTTCTAGGATATCCGTCAAAATCCAGTTGCTGAAGCCCGTCCCTATGTTCACTCTTGAGTCCAAACTGCCGAAGTCGTTTTCCTCCTCGGTCAGTTTATCAATGATCAGAGTACGCCATAGGGCTTCAACCCGGGTCACCGCTTGTGATGGGCGGATGTATCGTCTTGAGCTATGATTTGCAGTGCTCTCGACACGCCAAGCTCTGGCTTGAACAGGATATTCGGCTGGACTATGCAATGCCAGTCGTAGAGCCTGGATAACTGGATCTTGATTAAGCTCCGTGGACATAGATACAGTATCCACCTTGATACCCTTGACACTTAGCTTATCATCGGGATCAATATGGATTACCCAGTCGTCATAATCAAGATCCTGGTGAGTGCCGGCGCAGAAACGATCATCATGTCCACCTTGGTCAAACGGAACCCGTCCCAGCCTGGCACTAAAGTCTGGCACCCAGCTTGGAAGGCCTTGGATCCTTGTGTCTGCAAGATCTTGCACGTGGGATAGAACTGCAAGGTGCGAGCCAATACGTTTGTCAATCATGGTCTTTGTTGCTTGGATGAAGACCTTTTTGACGTCGGCACTGTAGTCTGGCTGTAGTCCAAGACCATCCTCGGCAAGGTTCAGAAAAGCGAAGATCTTGTCTCGAGGGTCTGTAGCCTCAAGCTCCCGAAAGTCGGAGAGGACGGAAAGTAAGTGTAGCTTTCGACGTTCAAATCTGAAACCAGTCATACCAAGCTCCTCGTCGAAAGATTTCACTATATCGTGATCGATGAGGTGGGTAACTTGGGGAAGTTCTAGGGCCCATCGGCGTGATTTGTCCCTGGTATCCCCGTCTTGCCCCTCTTCATCTGAAAGCAGGGTGACCATGGGGAGGCCAGCGTTGCAAAGCCCAAGACGCGAGCGAGTATGATGATAACCTAGGATAAAAGAAAGAGCATCGCGCGGAGTGACCTTCAACTCATTGGCCGCCCTCGCTGGCTGCCCAGAGAGCAACGATAGTTTCTCCCAGTGTTGAGCCTGGTCTGACACGGCTCGATTGGCGAGAAAGTTATGTCCAAATTGGCATAACTCAATATCGATTCCTGTCTGTTCAAGAAATGCAGCAACCGCCAAGATGAAGTCCATACTTTGCAGCGTCGCGCCGCAGACCATCAAAATATCCTGAGCAAAAACAGCCTCCTGAACGACCCAAGCTCTGCGGAACCAGAGTCTTTGGAAGAGGGAAAAGAGGGCGAACCAATGCACCACTGTCATCCCTGGGACTGAGGACATGGTGACTTCTTCTTGTTCTTGGTATGTGGAGTCTTGTGCATGGAGGCGAGTTGCGTCGAAATCAAGAATTCTCCCCATTGCCTGTATCGCTAGTTCTGCAAGCCTGTCATATTGGCCGACCCAGGCAAGTACTATACTGGCTGACTTGTATAGACGCCCCATAAGCTTAACTTGGGCAGCTCGTTCGTCGAGGTCTGCCTGGTTGATACATAATGCATCAGCCCAGATGGGTAGGTTGATTGAGCGGTAAGTCGGGCTCTCTGGCTCTCCTGGGCTTGGAGCAATTGCAGCTCGAAGTTTCAATACTGATTGGAAGAACAATAAGAGGTTTTCTTCGATTGGGACCCGACTCCCGTCAATTTCTATTTCATGATGGGTGCGCTTTTGCCAAAGCACCTCTTCACGGGGGACATAGCGATGCATATCGTAGTACAGAAGCTTGGCCCGATCAACCATTACCAATTTGTCGCCATCAGGTCCCAGTTCTGGACTGTAATAAGTGAAAGGAAGTTTATCGGCATGCTCTTGGAATTCAAGACCATCGATATCGGGCATGGGATCTTCGTGAACTGTAGTTGGGTTGCCCCAGGTGTATGAGACAGCGGCAAACTCGAGACTCTCATCGCGTAGGTCGACTACCCGCATAGAGCAACGAATAGCATCGTCTCGAGACTCGATTATATCCAAGAGACGTATTGATGTTGGCGTTTTGAGGACGTGTGACTTGTACATGTTGACGATATCTGTGTGCAATACCGAATTGGCTATGGATACTCGTAAAACAGCATGAATCGCAGCACTCAAATGAGGACACCTACAGTGTTTTTGTGATTCCAAGGCTGATTCAATTTAGAAGAGGCATTATCGAGGTTTGAAGATCGCCACGGAACAAAGTCCGCCCTGTTGCATAGCCGCCGGTGGCTGATACAGTCCTGTAGAATATGGCCATTCACAGAGCGCTGCCAAGTCCCAAGCGCTTCACCAGTAACATCGGCAATTGGACGTTTTCACTGGAACGACCAGGGTCAGCCAGACTTCATGCCTCAACACTCAGCCTAGCGTTCTGCCTCCTCTTCTGCTAAGGCGGTATTGAAAGCCTTGTAAAGTTTTATGTTGAATGAATTTTGTCTTCTCCCTGTGAAACAGCTGCAGAGTAAGATTTCGTGTCCCTGCTCTGGTGCGAAGACGTTTTAGCCTCGGTGATCGCCTGCGCTAACACCCACTGTAAATACACTTTATTGTTAACCACTACACAGCCTACAAATTTTAGCAGGGGGTATCAGCCCAACCCAAGCCACAGAGATTGATATATGAGACCTGTTTCTTGCGTCGCGCGCTTTGGGCCAACGGAAGTCTACATTATTCTGCAATTGATAGTCGTGTACGTCCTCGACATGGTATCGAAACTTGAAATAACCGGGCAGCTCTTTAGGCCGGCTACTCTCAAGCTACGTCGAATAATACAGGGACGAAACGAGTTATTACAAATAACAGAGGCTGCTAAAGGGAGTATACTTCAGTACTTCAGTAACAATAGCTATCAAGATCAAAAGGTAAGCCCAAGATTCAAGGCGTTATGTCAGGGCCTAAACCTTCACGACTATAGCATGGTCTCTTAAGCCACTGCACTTTAACCACCAAAAAAGACCACGACCTGCCTTATCAAGATCAGCAAAAACATACAACAGCGGGGATTCGCTGGTCGTCACCGACCCAAACTACTAATCCGCCCCTTATCAGCTTACGGACGGGATCCCGAGTTCTCTGATAGGTATGGTCGTATGTGCTTAAGATGTGTCTGATTCCAGGATATATGCAAGGGATCTTATCTTGCCAGCACGCATCGTTGTTGTCGACTCGGTTCGGATTAGGACAGGCATTACCGTATGCTGAAGCTGGAATGATGTCTGCGTGGTTTTCCTCTGGCTCGTTCCTCGCGTTGGCCTGCGTGTAACGCGCGGCAGTTGAAGTAGAGAGATACTGCCTGAAGAGTTATGGATATCGTCATGGACTCATGGCCAGGCTCCAAGATTATCCCTCGAGTGGCATAGAGCCACCAAGTATTAAGATCGAGGCTTCTGTATAACAGCCAATTGCATTTTCGACTCTGCCAGAACCATCAATATAGACCAATTGTGACTATAGTTCCTTGTATTTCTCCGCATCATAGGCTCTACATTACCTGCAGGCAGTCATCCGCATATGGTGATATCGATGGTGCAATGATCCCAGTCTGAGATTCGTAAGTGATGTTGAACACTTTCTTCCAAATCATCAAGCCATTGGCTTTGTAATTCAAGAGGATTGCGTGAGCACTTATGAATTCCGCTGTCGTGGAGGATTCTGTCATTGACGCTAGCATTCCCTCCGCGATGCCTTTTCCCTCCAATCACGTCAATTTCATCTCTGGTGTTTAGCGTCGTCGTTGAGTATTAATCAGCCCAGACGGAGCACTACCTTAATTCGGATCATACGTGCCGTGCTGCACTAAAAAGGTGCATAAGAAATCCCTTAATCGTGAATCTTAATCGATCTTGCTGGGCTTTTAATTGGCTGACGGATCAATAATCTAGCTGATGACTGTGCTTGCGACACCCAGTGACTCAATTACGCGGTCTGCCCCGACGCGCATATTATTTCCAGGCGTAACAGTCGGGTCAGATTAAGCCGATGCTATGTATTACGCAGAATTCGTGAGTCACTTGCCTTGATCAATTGACACGACTCATCAAGAAAAGTGCAGATGCCTAGTCAGGCAGAAATTGTATAACAATAAGGCCAAATATCGCCAAGATGTCAGATCAATTCCCACCAGTATCGTCAATATGGAGCCTCCTTACACGCAAAGATCCGGCGTCCCTCTTCAGACACGCCCGGTGCTTAGCCCGTTCAACCCATCAGCCCTACAGAGCCTTAATTCTATCTTACCCCCTAAGAAAAATGGCTTGGCCATTAATATTCATGATCATTATGCATCTAAGCGCTATCGTCCTGGCTCCATAGTCATGGGCACTGTCAACATCAAGCCTAAGAAGCAGATTCCTTTCACAAAGATGTCCATCAAATTTGTTTGCGACTCAAGCGTCGAGCGACCCAATGCCAACTTATCATTTGAGACATGGCATCGATTACTTGATCTAGAGATGCCAATTGAGGAAGCGGCATTGCCAGCGAATAAGGTCCTACAAGCAAACGAGACTTACACGGTTCCATTTTACTTTGTACTACCCAATGGCCTCGGTACAGAAGCCTGTTCGCATAACGTCATATGGCAAGAAACGCGACAGCTGCACTCGCAGCTCCCACCCAGTGTCACGGGCTGGGAGAGTGATGCCATGGTCCCAAGAGGCGTGCGTGTTGACTACGGTGTTATTGCTCAGGTTTGGGACTCGGCAAACCCAGAGTATGCCAAGATGGAAGCCAAAGAGACTGTTCAGTTCTTGCCAGGCCATGTTGAACATCCGCCCTTAAAGATCCCGACAGCAAACCGAACTTTCAAGTTCGGGTCATCGAAGCAACTCAAATCCAATGTCTTTAGTCGCTCTTCGGGTGAGGTCACATTATATACTGATCAACCCAACGCGATCATCCTTGAGTCCAGCGGGAAGAATTTCCATCCTACAACGATTGCAACTTCTCTCAGACTAAAGCTGAGCAACCAAAAGACTAGTTTACCACAATCATGCACTGTTTCTGCAAAGATTGAATCAGAGACATGGTCACAGGATGAGCCCATGCAACAGCTCCCTCATATCGTCAATGCGAGAGACTGCTACAACGGCTCCGAGAGTCTCATCAAGAAATCAGAGGTCAGCTTGAGCTGGGAGAAGAATTCACCAAAACAAACAGACAGTATTGTCACTGAGACTGCGGAATCATTCAGCAGCCATATCGAAATACCTATCACGAGCTTCGCGAGCGATAAGAAAATGTTTTTGCCTACTTTTTATTCTTGCCTGATTGCCAGGACATATCAACTACATCTAACTATTAATGTTGCGTCAACAACACTGAAGCTGGTACTTCCTGTACAGCTCACAATGGAGGAGCAGAATGGGGATGTGCAGCCCGACACTGAGGATATTGGGCTTCCTGAAAGCAGCGCGAGATGTTCCAGTTCATTGCCGTCATATATCGAGTCGGAAAGGAGGCATTCACAGCCTGAGCAATAATTCTTTGTAATGAATAATAAAATTGAATTTCGTCGTTAAAATGCTCCCGATAATATCCCTTTGTCAGTTTCTTCGTTTCCTTCTACACCTCATAGCAATTGTCGAATGCGAAACCTATGCCAGTTTGAATATCCGATTCACTTTATTAAAGTCCTTCGACCAAGGCCAAGTCCTGAACCAATCCCATTATTTTGACCGAGATTGGTTCTCTGGATGAATCAATTCCTTTCCATTCTGACTAGCTCTAATCCGGAAAACCCATTCCTTGATTCGAACGGCGGGGTCTTCACCGGCCCAAGAGTTTGCCGCTCGCACCTCTTCTTCGATCTGTTTGACCTCGAGGCGGGCTAAAGCTCCCATTGTGAGCGGTGTCGGTCCAGGTGGCGGTCGTGGTGCCCTGAGTGCGGCAGCATAGCTTTTGGGCTTTGCGGTTGTCGATGGAAGTCCAGAAGGAGTATCCATGGCCAGCGATGGGTCCTGTTTTTGCTTTTTAAATAGCTTTTGTTTACGTAGCTCCGATGCGCAGGAGGGTAAGTCGTCCATGGTAGAATTTCTTGCGTAGGATATGTTTTAAGGTGTGCGGTATGTGACGGGGTGATGATGCGAGGATAAACTTGATACACTTTTGACAGTAGGGGAAGGCATGCATATTTAAGGACAAGAAATTAAACTCTCGACGCCTTTTCAGAGTTGGTAAGTGAAAGCTGAACAGCAGGTACGAAGGGAAGTTAGATAAGGATATGGTTTATTCAGGCTCATAATGAAAGCGACCTGTTTTTCTGTTCGCTCGCACTTCCCTGCAGTGCCTATACTGATCGCATGTTCATCTGTATTCGGTAGGTGTTCCACGCGTGCGATGAACTTTGTAGTCTAACATTCAGGTTCGTCATTGTCTTCAACATCACATTACGTGAACATCCTTGATGATCGGCTGGGAAATAACCGTTCACGGTTAAGAGTGCACCCAATTGATGGGAGTGTGTTCAAACTATCTTCGGGCAGATCCTTCACGATAAGGTTATCATCCCTAAATAGAATACCATTTTCCTACAGTCTGTTTCCATCTTCTCATAACCTCTTCCAATTCAGTCCTCCCAGTCAGACGTGTTTGCCTCGAACTGTCGTAGATTTCTAACCGCGGATTCCTTACCCCAGGGTTCAGCAAATGTCAGTAATCTACGGCAAATGAATCTTTTAAACTTAGATATAAGTACTCTAACGATTATTAAGTCTCTCTTAATATGCCATAATCAACTCTCAGATCAATCAGTTGACCAAACAGAAATTTCGCCAGTTAAGTTTTGTTCGTGTTTGATATTGCTAATCGCCTAGTGCTGCAGATAGCGCCATAGCACTCGGAGGCCCGTTTCTGTAGGGGCTTAGTTAGTGGGCAATCGAAAACAATCTCCACCCAATCCCAGCAAACTCTATTCGGTGGCTAAACGAGGCTAAACGATGCTTACCCGATACTTCATGAAGTCAGAGCTACAATTATTTCTTTATTCTTGGAGAGAATTTAGTACCTTAGTTTCTAATACCCTAATTTGATCCAGTATAAAATTTCTAGCAATCTGTATTTAACCGCGTTAATCATTTTTCTTTCAATCCAACTTCACGAGACAAAAAGCTGTTTCATCAGCGCTCGGCTACACATCGAGGCAAAGGGTTTGCATTGGGCTCGTTTCAATAATGGCAGAAAATATGCGCAGATTGAAGGAGATAGCTTGACTTGAACCGATACAAGAGTCCTGATTAATTTGTTACCACTTCTTAAGATTTTCAGTTTGCATCAACCTCTCACTAAAAACAATCCTGTCCAGCTGATGATAGACGATGTAAAGAGGGTCTCACTCTCACAGTACTCTTATTACGACTCACTATCTGCCCAATCTCGTCGCTCGTCTTGAAATTCTCTCTTCCCGCACAGGAGAGTGGCGTGATATTGCTTCAGAAACATCCTCAACCAATTCAGAGAACCTGCACGAGTAGAGCACAAACTGCTCGATTCGAATAGACCATTGCTCGGAAGTCGTGGAGTGATTCCTACTTGGGACATTCGGAACGAACGCGAACAATATACGGTTTATAATATTCTGGATAATACAGTTTCAGCTCAGCCTGCATCGTCAATTTTTACAACAGCCTGATATGATATTCGCAGCAAATGAGGCAAGATTGGTAAGATGATCATATGCAGAGTTTCGCCAACTGCGAAGTCTGCATAATATGAATCTACCCCGGCTTCTGGACAATGCGGCTTATAGCTAGGGGTTTCACATCCCAACCACGATTGTACGAAGTATCTCACGAGTTATCATGGCACAGCAAAAAAGTAGCCGGCCCGACAAGTTCCTCCACTTGTCTACGGGGCAAAAATAACATACAACACCGGGGATTCGCTGGTCGTCACCGACCCAACTACTAATCCAGCGCTTCGCAGCTTGACTATGGGAGAGCGGACGGGATCCCGTATTTTCTACGAGCTTTGGTCGTATGTGCTTGTTGAGACTGTCGCGAGGGTCTATGACAGCAACATTGTGCCGAGTTGAAGGCTCATCTTGGCGGTTAATCACGGCGCAGGAACAGTCTTGGCTGGATGAAAGTTCGGCATTGGCATTTTGCCTGAATGGGTCATCCAAGTCTCCATGACAGCGTAGAGCCTAGAGGTCCGATGCCTTGGAGAGACCACGATGTGATACCCTGATTCGATCATTTTGGCGTTCCCCGCAAGCTCATAATGCATTGATACGTGCCTTGGATTTAAAGTGTTGGAGTTACATCGCCACTAAAACGCGGCTTGGCGGAACCTCTCATCACTTTGGATCCTTCTCAAATTTAGCCGAGGCCAAGTTGTATGTCAGACCGCTATCCAATGCCTACGTACGTACCTGAGCCAGTGGAGCATCTGTTCTGTCAAAGACACCATGATCGTTCGGTTTTAACCGTGTGTGCACTGAGCACGGATCATTCCCGAATAAATGCACCAATTACCAGGGCAAAGGATCGCTAAACAAGTGTGCTTTCTCGTGTTATCCCTGAGTCATGAGCAAGTTCTAGACTGGGTTCGTTGTTTTACATCTTAATAGATGTCAGCTATACACCATGCACCCTCACGCTGATCTCCTGAAACGCAACCTTGGTTTTTAGGCTGAATGACCGATCCTCATCCTCCCCTTCCTAATCAAAGACGTTAGTTCTCGGCCCAGCTCCTAGCTCGCGGCCATGTCTGGGGTCTTCGGCAGTCAATGCAACCTCCGCCCCGTTCGAGGTGGCTCTATGGCAAGACTTGCATCGATGCCATGTGGCTCGATGTTACGAATGCCGACTTTTGCTTTCCCCATTCAAGATCATGTCTTGTCCTAAATCGGACGATCCGGGCATTGTTCCTCCGAAATTGCACAAAGGCCGGATAAACCAGATCCCTACGGTTAGCATGTTTCATAGTACGGAGATGACTACTGGCCTAGTTCAGTTTCCGGGATATCAACGACCCACTAATCACATTGGGGTGACTGCTGTCAACTGGTCAAACAAGCATTTCTATTGATCCTTACTTTCCCAGTGGTTATCTGGCCGGCAAAATTGGGTATTCACTTCGTACAGACTTAGATCGATCTCGGACACTTTCACATCCATGTTATGCAACTCCTTTTCCCCACAAGCTCCCGAACTTGGGCCAGACTCGGATGAGGTAAAGCAACTAAGGATCGCCTAGGTGCTACCACTTGGCAATATAAATACGACCAGAGTCCTCATCGATCAGTCTCTTCATCCCATCAACCAACAGCTTCAGTCTCCGACAGTCTTCAAGCCAACATCATCAAAATGGTTTCCTTCACCTCTCTCCTCGCCGCCGTCTCGGCTGTCACTGGCGTCATGGCCCTCCCCTCCGCTCAGCCCGTTGATGGCATGAGCGTTGTCGAGCGTGACCCTCCCACAAACGTCCTCGACAAGCGCACTCAACCCACTACTGGCACAAGCGGTGGCTACTACTTCTCTTTCTGGACTGATACACCCAACTCTGTCACCTACACCAACGGTAACGGTGGTCAGTTCAGCATGCAGTGGAGTGGAAATGGTAACCACGTCGGTGGAAAGGGCTGGATGCCCGGTGCTGCTCGGTAGGCCTCACCTGCACTGCTTCGAGGAGCTTCATGCTAACTTCATATTCAGCACCATCAAGTACTCTGGTACCTACAACATCAACGGCAACAGCTACCTCGCTGTTTACGGATGGACCCAGAATCCTCTCATCGAGTACTACATCGTTGAGAACTTCGGCACCTACAACCCCTCTTCCGGCGGTACCAAGAAGGGTGAGGTCACTGTTGACGGATCTGTCTACGACATCTACGTCAGCACCCGTGTCAACGCCCCCTCCATTGAGGGTAACAAGACCTTTCAGCAGTTCTGGTCTGTTCGACGCAACAAGCGTTCCAGCGGATCCGTCAACACCGGTGCTCACTTCCAGGCCTGGAAGAACGTCGGCCTCAACCTTGGTACCCACAACTATCAGATCCTTGCTGTTGAGGGCTACTACAGCTCTGGCTCTGCCAGCATGACTGTCTCCCAGTAAAGAGGCATTATGACTGGAAGCTCTGGGATCATGATATGACAGTCTCTCGAAGATAGTCATTCCTTGTATCTTCAGAAGTTCCAGAGATGGGATTACGTATTTACGAGTCCGGACTTGTGACTGGACTTCACTCAGGACCGGTCTTTACTTCATTGTACATAGCTTAGCATCTGACTGAACATATAACGATAGCCGGCTTGCACGGCTTTTTGCATACTTAAAGTTATTTTGGCCAACATAGAGTAATATGCGACCTAAGCAGCCTGGTGAAGCATATACCAGTTCCCGTAGACACCAACAAATTTCAATTTCTGAGTCGCTTGAGCGACTCAAAAACCTTGGTATAATATAAAGCCAATTGAACAGAAGGGTATATCATGATAAATAATACAGCACTCTTTTCTTAAGACCGAGATTCCCTCTTGCATTTCATTTTTATACTCCTGAGAATCTTCGTTGCATATCTTCACTCAAGTGAACGTTAGATGGCTGACTCAACATTTCTGGCTCTGACGATATCATCGGCCTCCGCGAATTATGGCTTGAATGGCCTTTGCTATCTTGCCCGCTGCTCTGGCCATAGTACTGGATCTTTTCTCGCCAGTTGAAGAACGGTCGTAGTGATGGAAGGCACGCGATAATCAGACCAATACAAGCATCGATGAAACTCCATAATTCTATTTACGAGACAGATCGCCGCATCAGTACTCTTCTTTCGCTGGGACGAGGTTCCATTTCGAATACTTACCGACAAGACTGATTGTGATTACCAAATCCCCACCATATTGTTGGATCTGAGCAAAACGGACTACACAGAAGATGATATTGATGAGACCAAGAAGAAATGTTGCGTATAGACTATATCTCAATCTTCTCCTTAGTGTTAGCTCGGGGATGACGAGCCAGGGTAGAATGAAAACTATATATCATTATTGATTAGAACATCACTAAGAATTTGCGGGGCCACGGCGTACTGAGGATATCTGCACTGATGTTCAGGACCCAGGAGATCTCAAAGTTGATTTTGATGCTCTCCACGGTGCATCTTTGGTCCGATAAGGCCCTTCAAGGGATATTAGTATAAACCTCAAAGCATAGGCTACTATCACATAAACCCACCAGTTTCTCCATACTGGTAAACAAGAAAGACTGAGTAACAATATTGTAACAATGAAACCTATCGCAACATAAACGATAACAGCCCAGAGGAATCGACGCCGCTTAACCATAAAGCTTGGGAAGATCTGTAAGTATACTGCCAGCAGAGCTGCCTTGGACAAGTACAAAGTGGTGTAGAAGGGATAGGTTGAAAAATAGTAGAGCTTGTCAAATATGTTAGCCGGCGATGTTCCTTGATGATGTTTAGGGCACATACCTTGTAGAAGTTCTCGGCCTCTTGCGCAGTTCCTTCAAACCCGGCCAGATCGAACGTCGTGCCAGGCTTGAAGATACCTATACGTAAGAAGTAGATATCGAAGCTTGCTAAAGCGACGGCCGAAGCCCATGCAGCGCACATGAGCACATCACTTGCGAGTAGGCTTCGTCGTTGTAGAATGAGTCTGAGATACAGCCGTGCTAGAATTACCACGGTCGCGACAGAAATGAGGGCCCATTCAGTAGCCTGCAAATTATTCAGCAATGTCGCGTGTCGTCGTAAGAGGCGAGGTGACCCACGACGACTGTTGGACCGCTTGGATCTATTGGCATCTTGAAGATTGCCGAGTCTCGTACAGCACCAAATGATGAGATGAGGACCGCGCCTTGATGTTGAAGTCCTAGTCGCTAGCATTACCACTCGGGAACAGATAATGCAACATGAACGTTGAACGGGGTCGGTCCCCGGAAGAGAAGGGAGATCTGCACATGTAATAGTCACACATGCCTAAGCAACAGCGATAGTTTGCATTTGCATTCCTCCCGGAAACAGGGCACGGGAAACTGATGTGATCTGCTAAGTTCAATCTGAGACCCTTCAAGCCACATTCTGGTCTAGAGCGCCATCTACCACTGTTCCCGTCATGACATTCGGTAATAATCACGTCAACCTCATGCATCCACAAGCAAGGCTGATCATGTCCCCGGGTTCATGTACGCGACGCGTACTTGAACCCTAATCTAGCAAATGCATCTCTAGGTCAATGGTCTATCGGCAGCTTTCTAGACCCCGAGCTTATCTGCGCAGAGAGCCGTCTAGACCTCCGCACTTGACGCCACATACCCACGTCCCTGAAAGGTTTCAGCCCATTTGATATCAGGACAGCCACCAATCTTCAGCGCACTGAGGTCACGTCGACTGATACAATTAAGTAGACTGGTGGCACGAGCCTAGCCTCTGATCATTGGGGGATCTATCTTGGCAGGTTTCTCGGAGCAAAGCGTAATATTTCTTGCGACATTTTCAGCAATGGGTTAGGATATCATGTATCCAAACAAATCTCAACATCCCTTTTTACATTGCAGCTATGTCAACGTGAAACAGCATTCATCAAAAGCTTCAAAAATTACAAGAACAGAACATCCCTGAATTTATATACTGACTCTATACATAGGAAAAAATGACCATCGCTCGTGATCTATGCATCATTTCTGGCTGTCCTTGGGCACCTGCTTGTCCATCAGATCCTTCAACTCGCCAAAAGCCTTGAGAATAGTGGGCGTCTCAGCAATGATATCCTTCTTGGTGTCATCGCCCAGCTTTCCAGCAACAGCAAGCCAAAGATCATCACCAACACCACTATGAAATCCGAGAGCAGGTCGAGTATCAACAACGTTGAGCTTCATGCCCTTCAAAGTCTTATCAAGTGATTCACTTGCAGAAGTACCTCCAAAGATACCGTAGCTGATGATCAGAACACCCTTGCCAATCCATTCGTTGTACAGGTAATCGACAGCGTTCTTGGTGCCGCCGGCAAGACCAAAATTGTACTCGGGAATGATAAAGATGTAGCCATCGTACTTCTTGATCTCATTACTCCAGGCGATGGAGTGGGCATTCTTGAAGTTTCCCTTGTCGGGAACCATGGCGGGCATGATCTCTTCATCGAAGACGGGGAGATTGAAGTCTGCCATGTCAACTATGGAGATCTTGGTGTTCTTGCTGGCGTCTGCGTCACCAGTGAGGATGTCGTTGATGACGCTGGTGATCTGAGGGCCAACTCGACTCTTACGAGTGCTTGTTGTGATGAGAGCGATGTTCTTGATGGCAGCCATATTCCTTTTGCGATTCGGAAAATTGTGGTTTAATGGGATAACGGGATAACGGGATTGCTTTCAATGGAGGAGATGTAGTGAAAGGATATTCGTCAAACTTTATCCAGTACAACCTATTTATACTTAATTAATTTCAGCGACACTCCAGCTCATCTTGTAGTATTAATAATTTCCTACGCCCGCAACGCACATGGGCTGTTCTGCTTTCTTACAAATCCCGACTTCTACCCGCGCGTTTCGGTCGATGATGGGTAGCCTATACAGCGGAAGCCTGATGCTTGGCTCCGCGGCATTGCATGGCACGGCTGTCTCACGCGCGGCTCGGGTATTCGGATTTCAATGGTATGGTAAGCAATTTGGGGCCAGTAAGCAGCCACTCCTCGATCAGACTCTTAAGAGCTGTCAGCAATTATCGGCAAAAGCGGTGCCGCAAACGCCGCTTTTTTGATGTGTTTTATTACGATTCGATCCGCATATTATTAATTATTGATTAAAGAACGACTTCAGGTTTTGGGATCTTTCATCAAAAACCGGGGGGCGGAGCTTAGCCGATATCTCACATCATCTACTCTGTTGTTTCTTCTTGTCGGTCACCGCTGAGTATCAAGCAAGGCTTGACCAAAAACAGTAATCTATTTCTTCAGTCCACCATCTCATCATCCTCTCCTGTATATTCTTCAGCCGCTCGAATGTAGTGCTCCAACCATCTATCTACAAAAGTGGGGTAATCGTCAATCTCCCTCTCTTCATCTTGATATGGACCAACCAATCTCTCATAAGCTGCTTCCCCATCTTCACTGCTCGGTGGCGAAGGATTGTCCATCTCATCGTAAAACCGAACACCGCCATCAGATCCCACATCTACACTCGATTCCCTGCTTTCTTCCTCAAAGGTCTCAATGGGTGGACTGCTCTCTTCTCCATCCTCATCATAGTCATCATCGTCATAATAGTTATAATCGTCATCATGGCTCGAAAGGTGGTCTATATAAGGCCTAGGGTTGGACTCCGGACTGCGAGCCAAGTACCATTCGCGATATATAGCTTGGGCGTAGCCTGGGATATGAGCGTCTATTGTTGGCTCCACGTCATGCTCATCAGTTTGTACCGGAAGCTCTTCACAATCTGAACATGCGATATGCTCACAGCGTCTCACAGGTTGCTTCCAGTAGTCGTCATCGCCGCCTGATTCTGGATATCGCTCATCTGCCCAATACGGACACAGGGCTTCATACCCCTCCCATAATCTCTCGAAGTCCTTCCTTCTGTAGTTTCTGTTATACCTGGGCACTCTGGGATATGCATCTCGATGTGGGTTGATATCATAGCCGCATATCGTCAGAGCAGCGTCCCAAAGATCACCTCTGTATGACCCCTTGGACGAGTACTGGTTATCGCCATCGTTGGGTAAATATGCACGCATTGAAACGCTATGCTGATGATGGTCAACAGCAAGGATATCTGCTCCTTGTCGGATCAGGAAGACTACAGCTTCCAGCTCGTCTCGATCCCTGCTTCGATGAGCTTTATAAACAAGGCTATGCAGGCACGTGAACCCTAGCGTTTGGTGGTCATCTGGAGACCATGACTTTGCTATACGGGCGTTAAGGCTGGCTCCAGCCGCCACCAGCATAGAGACTGCTTTCTTCGAGTCCCTGGTTTCTGCCATACAAACCTGGTGAAGTCTTGTCCTTCCATTGAGGTCGAAGCTCTCTAGGTCATGCATCGTGAAGTGACTCCCGTGCTTAAGGAAGAGCTCTGCTGATGGCTAGATGGTGTCAGTACACATACTTGCTATCGTTCGGATACTCACAAGATCAAGGTTACAGGCCGTAGATAACGGGTTATCCCAACCCGGGTATGACAAAGTGGGATCAGCCATGTTTTCCAGTAGTACTAATGTTGTATCATGTCGTTCCAGCCCTGCTATACGCGAGAGGGCAGTACCCGTATGTTCGCCCATCTCATCCACGTCTGCCCCAGACTCGATCAAGAATTTGCACATCTCCACACTCGCCGTAGCTGCATACTTCACACAGGTTAGTACAAGCTCTAGGTATCCATAGTCGGCTCTTACATGTAGAAGTGGCATACCCTGCTCGTCGTGGTCACGTAAGCTTGCTTTCCCCTCCTGCAGCATTGCTATGAACTCCTTGAGGGAGCCCTGTTTCACCAAAGTAAAGACGGGCGAGTCATTTGGGACTATGCGACAAACAGATATTCGCGGGATACTCTGAATGCTTCGATCGAAAAGTTGACCCTGTGAAAGCGAGACTGAAAACATCCAGGGGGAATTCGACGGTCGGAACACGATATTAGCAACAACATCGCGAAAGGTTTTGACACCTCCAGATGGGTCAGAGGAGCTTGCGGTACATATTCGCCTTCTCTTGTTGGTTGAGATCGTGAGATAACCGTGGTCAACATCGATCTCTTCCCTTATTCGCTTTTGCTTGATGACCGTACCATGCGGTAGGTGAGAACGAAGTTTTCGAGAACCAGAGACTAGTATGTGGCGTCAGCTATTGTCCGCAGGAACCATGAATGATATAGTTACCAGACTGGTTGATTGCAATGATGGGGGCGGAAAGAATCAGTCCCTCTATTAGCTTCAGATCTCTACCGAACGCCTTCGTATTGTCTTCTGTGACCGCACTGTAGCTATTGCAGTTGCTCTTGAGTACAGACTTCTCGATCGACCTCTCCCTGGCAATAACAACGAATTTCCGTAAGTCGTCAATGATTTGCTCAGCATCATCGGCATCCAAGGTCAGGCCGTCATGGTCTATGAGGGTAGAAAAGCGGGTGATGCTAGACTCAAGCTCGGAACAAAGTGCCATGGCACCAAGTCGACCAGCCATTGCGCTGTCTATAGCGTCATCATCTGCGGTTGCTGGAAGTTGCTCGACCTCATTGGATGTAGCATCTTGATCAAGTCTTGTGTGAAGTTTTGATACCTCTCCAAGTATTTGCTCCAGGATACTTGCCGTCGCCGTGGCATGAGTATCTATCCTCGATGACACTTGCAAAAGTGACTGTGCTTGAAGAAGGCTGAGGTAAAGGTTTATTTGCGTTGACTTGTCTCGAATCCGGCTTCGCGCATTCTCGAGATCTTCTTTCTTGACGTACGCGAGAAGGCCTTTGTAAACGCGACTGGAACGACTACTGCCAGAGCTGGCACAGAATTTTGCGAGCCGACGTTCAATGCTCGACAGCTCTGTTGTGCATGCTTGCAGAATATCATTTAATGACTCAATCGTGCTTGTCGGCGCGTGTTGCAGCGAGCTGCCAGATATCCGCCCGAGAACGGATTGCAGCGACTCTAGGTCTTTGGACAATCCGGAGACTACCCTAGGGGCATCTTTGATTGACGAGAGTGACTCATTGATGATCTTGGCTGACTTGAGGGCTAAGAGGACAAAGGCCAGCGTGCTGGCACCCGCGCCGATAGCTTCCATGGTGGTTTCGATATACCGATGCCGCAAATGCTACGATTAAAACGATACATATCCAATAGGCAGCTGGAAGATGTTTTCTTTGAACAAAGCAAGATGTTTGCGGCAGAACAGAAGGGAGAGCCTTGTGAAGCGCCTGGTGTCTCAGCAGACTCAGCCGCACTGGCCTGGGATGGGCTGTGTCGCATTTTACGCGCCACACAGCATCTCGTGATTGGTTTCTCAGGCAGCAAACCATTCCATATTTGTGCCAAACAGCGCAGATCGACGATCGCGAAAATACAAAATGGAAAAAGTGACAAGACCTCTTCATTCTTCCTGGGTTCTCACAACAATTTTCTTCCCGATTTTTCCACTTTCCATATCTTGAATGCCCTGGATAACCTTCTCCCATCCGATCCCGTCAACAACATGATGCTCAAGTGGCTTCAGAGTCCCAGCAGCAATACGCTTCTCAAGCAACGGAATCCAGTTGGCGATATCGGATGTAATCTGCGTCCCATCTCGCTCGTTCGGGCGGCAGAGATGGCCAAGATCTGCTCTGTACTCATTAATAGAAGATGGTGTTGAGAATGGGGACCTAGTGATACGTGAGTGGTGTTTTAGATCTTCACAATGAGTTCAGAGAACTTACCAAGAGTCAACCGACGCAAGGTATTTCTCTTTCGCATTGGAGGCGGTTTCGAGTGCTTTCACCATGACCTTGTAACCATAAGTGCTCGCGTCCATCATTTTGCCAAAGTTTCCGCCAGTCATCTTCTTGATTTCCGCGACTTGCGCATCAATCGTCTCACGACTGTCAAAGGTCGCTGAAGCTCCGTTTCGGACGGCAATCTGGGTAGAGTTAGCACTGCGATATGCTCACTTAGTTAAATGGACTCACATATTGTTTGGACGGAGAGCAAGACGCCAGAACCTTGTATCCGCAGACTTTGCCCAGCTGAGAGTGTTAGAAATAGAAGTTTTGTACGGCTCGGGTTGTTACCTGTATCGCAAATTGCCCAACGTTTCCAGTGCCCCCCAGAACGACAATCCATTCGTCTTTTTCCTGGGCTCTGTTGCCGTCGTCATGAAGCTCGAGCCCTGCGCCACCAAGGAGACATATGCTTGAAGTCTGGTGAGCTGTCAGCTTCATATTCTCAATTTTGGTCTGCAAGGTCTCAAAATTACCAGCAGACATGCTCCAATGGTGCAGCTATCCTCAAGAGATATGTTGTTGCCCCTCATAAACAGCAAATCTTCCCGGGCCAGATAAGCGTCTTGAAATGGTGTGAATCGATTCTGACCGACTGACGCACAACTGTAGACGTAGTCGCCAACCTTCAGCCTGCTAACATCAGGTCCAACTTCGACGACAACTCCGGCGCCATCACTGCCTAGGATCGCGGGCCACTCATTTACCATCATCCCAGTGTGATGCTGGAGAGCTTCACTTCATCGCTGCTATTAGTGAAACGCTCTAACTGGGTCGGTTATCCGGTATCGTACATGGGATTAAGGCCTACGGCGAGGCATCTCAAAAGCACCTGCCTGCCTTCTGGAGACGGACGAAGAATGCTGTCAACAACTTTGTGAGGCTTGTTGACTCCTTCGATAATGATACCTGTTTGAGTAGCCATTTTCTATCAAGTTAATGACAATAAAAATTTATCTTCATAAGTTCAAGAAAGTTTGAAAAAATTCTGATGCTGAGAAAGGCGGGGAAGTTGATATAAAAGCATTCGCACTACAGACTAATCCAACGTTTGGGAGGTAATGCAAACCACTCGTATAAGCCTGAGAAGATACGTTTTCGATCAGTGTAATCTCGACGCCACGGCACTATCTCATAGGCTGACGCCGCCCACCACAATGTCACCGCGCGTGAATAGTTGGTCCATCTCAAGAGGCGTCCTGCTGCTCGGACTGTTGATGTGCCGAATCTTTGACTACTGTGCGGCTGATATTCTTTGGCGTATAACCTCACGTCTCGGAACATGGAAGCTCATTTATTTCTGCGTGCGGGCATAAGCAATAGCTGAAGTACTGGCACGCAAGAGTAAGATGGCTACAGTTTGGGTTAGTGTGAACGGCGTTCTCCGTTGCTCCATCCCACGTCTACTGCTACAAGAGATACGATATTGTGCAGCTGAGTCAGTACTTATAGATTCCCTAAGCTTCTGGAGAATTATATGACCAGCTGTTCGAGCTTATAAAAAGTTGTGAGTATATCCAGACCAGTTTGATTCTTCGAGTAATAGGCCACCATAAGAAGTTTAAACTACCTCCCGCTTGCCCAGCTAGACTCTTTCTTCTGTTCGAGCTCCCAAACATGTATAGACGTTTTGCTTCTTGGAGTGAGACGAACTTTTTGATCAATACCAGCAGTGTAACACTGTGGTGCGAGCGGTCAAAGCGGAGTTTTCAAGAGGGGTATTGGTCATTTACGACTGGCGATTTGCAGCTCTCCTGATACATGAAAGCGTTGAAGGAAGCCGTGACAATAGTTTTTTTCTTGGCAAATAATAAAACACCAACTTGGGGGGGACTGATAGTTAAGACTTTCTGGTTGGGGTTGAAGCAAGCCAAAGATATTTGTACTGGGAGGTAGTTAGATGAGAGCCGGCAGACGTTGCCAGTGACAACTTCTTCCCTGAAACTGCCGCGTTTCTTTTAGAATCCATTGTAGGGCCTATAGGACGGGGAGGAGTTTAAAGAAGGACTAGCTCGAAGGGGCAACGGCAAAGTTGCCCCAGGAATCGTGTGAAGAGTAGTATAGTTGAAACGAGGGGTAAATTACCAGTACGATGCGGCTAAACTCAACATCAACAAGGCTGAGCTTGCTATTGGTCGCGATTTGAGTTTGTGAGCCTTTGAGGAAATCCTAGTCTTCTGTGCGTTAGTCCCAAGCCGACATCCCCGAAAACTATGGTTCAATGACCCAGCCATTACCCAACCTAGCCGGACCCCAATGATCAATCATGTAATCCTCTGAGCAGTTTTGAGCAACATCTCCATCCGGTGGACTTTTTCGGATCACAGGACGAGGTTTCCGTGGATCATGGCTCGATATATAAGCGTCAAACCTCCGGACTTCCCAAATAGGAACTGCAAGGAGGAACCCCTCCGAGATGAGCAGTTTCAGTGTTACATCATTTTAATATCCAGTTTAGGGTCTTTTGGACACATGACCGCACCGGCTGTCTGTTCCGGGATAGTCGTTTGTGGCGATGATACTTCAATAATGGCTGAATAAACGTGATGAATGAGGGGTTGTCCTCGATACAGACGCTCCGAAAGTTTCCACATCATCAAAGGCTCTTCGGATGTTTTTGGATCTCATCCGGGAATTATCTGACGGTGGATTCTTGTCCGGATCTCTTTGCCGATGGAGACGGTGGCCTTGCACTAACGTTTGAGATCCCGTCGTTCCGGGACGTTTAAACTTCAACGATGCGACTACATGCTTCGAAATGTATATAACGTCTATCACGGACCTCAATTCAAGATTCTTCTCTATTCATCCACAGTCAACAGTCAAGCATCATCAGTCAATCTTCAACTTCGACAGCTATGGCCTACAAGCTTATCCTCGCCGCCTTTGCGGCTACAGCTCTTGCTGCTCCTGTTGAAGAGCGCCAGTCTTGCAGCAACGGAGTTTGGTATGTCTACGAGCCTCAATCACAATATCTACTTACAATGAAACAGGTCTCAGTGCGGTGGTCAGAACTGGAGCGGCACTCCTTGCTGCACCAGCGGAAACAAGTGTGTCAAGCTCAATGACTTCTACTCTCAGTGCCAGCCCGGTACTGCTGAGCCTTCTTCGACTGCTGCTGGACCCAGCTCCACCACCGCTACCAAGACTACCGCCACTGGTGGAAGCTCTACTACTGCTGGAGGCTCTGTCACTTCTGCTCCTCCTGCGGCCAGTGGAAACCCTTACTCCGGCGTTGATCTCTGGGCCAACAGCTACTACCGCTCTGAGGTTTCAAACTTGGCTATTCCTAAGCTGAGCGGTGCTAGGGCTACCGCTGCTGCCAAGGTTGCTGATGTTCCCTCCTTCCAGTGGATGTAAGTCAAGCTTAAATCCAGTATTGATTATTGTATTGACAAGGCTCAGGGATTCCTACGACCACATTTCTCTGATGGAGGATACCCTTGCTGATATCCGCAAGGCTAACAAGGCTGGTGGCAACTATGCCGGTCAGTTCGTTGTCTACGATCTTCCTAACCGTGACTGCGCTGCTGCTGCCTCCAACGGAGAGTACTCCCTCGACAATGACGGTGCCAACAAGTACAAGGCCTACATCGCCAAGATCAAGGGTATCCTCCAGAACTACTCTGACACCAAGGTCATCCTTGTTATTGGTAAGCGGAGCTTCATTCATAATATTTAATTAGCTAACCCAATCCCAGAGCCTGACTCCCTTGCTAACCTGGTCACCAACTTGAGCGTCGACAAGTGCGCCAAGGCCGAGACTGCTTACAAGGAGCTCACCGTCTACGCCATCAAGGAACTCAACCTCCCCAACGTCTCCATGTACCTCGATGCCGGTCACGGTGGCTGGCTCGGCTGGCCTGCCAACATCGGCCCTGCTGCCAAGCTCTTCGCCCAGATCTACAAGGACGCTGGCAAGCCTTCTCGCGTTCGCGGTCTCGTCACCAATGTCGCCAACTATAACGGCTGGAAGCTCACCACCAAGCCCGACTACACCGAGAGCAACCCCAACTACGACGAGCAGCGATACATCAACGCCTTCGCTCCTCTTCTCGCTCAGGAGGGTTGGTCCAACGTCAAGTTCATCGTTGACCAGGGCCGATCTGGTAAGCAGCCTACTGGCCAGAAGGCTCAGGGCGATTGGTGCAACGCCAAGGGTACTGGTTTCGGTCTTCGACCTTCCACCAACACTGGTGATGCTCTCGCCGATGCTTTCGTTTGGGTCAAGCCTGGTGGTGAGTCTGATGGTACCTCTGATACCTCTGCTGCTCGCTACGACTACCACTGTGGTCTCGATGATGCTCTCAAGTAAGTTGCTCCATCCGATTTCTTCGCTATATCCCGTGCTAACATCTCATCTTCAGGCCCGCTCCTGAGGCCGGAACCTGGTTCCAGGCTTACTTCGAGCAGCTCCTCGACAACGCCAACCCCTCATTCATGTAAATTGTACATGACCCGTCTTAACAAAGTGAAAAGTTGAAGTTGGATCAGATTACTTGTCAAGGACCTAGGATGTTTTGTCTGAATTGTAGCTAGTTACGAGAGACATACAAATTGACATTTGAACATTGGAGCAATACCTCTTTTCTTCTTCTTTTCGAATGATGAAGGCTGAATAACAAATGCGATAAAACGTACAACAAAGATTGGACAACTAGTCAATAATGCCCTGAGGCAAAACAGAAACATAATCCAGCGCAGCTGTTTCCTTGCCATCAGCCTTTCCAATGATCACGAGCTTGTCACCTGGTTGGATCTTGACACCTTCAAAGGTGATACGAGTGGCAGAGTGACCATCGAGGAACTCACTAGGCCAGTGTCCCAGCCGCTCTTCATTGTCTCCAACCCACTTGCCGATCAGTCGTTTGTTGAGGTATACAGACCAAGTAGACTTGCCACCAACGATATCATAGTAGTTGACAGCAAGGTTGTATATGCCCTTAGGGGACTTGAGTGTGGTGCTGGCTGTTCCAGTACTGTTTGTGTAAATAGCAACGTACTTGGAAGCAGTCTCAGCAGGGGTGACATTGACAGGCTTATAGCCGTCGAGTTCCATCTTCTCAGCCTCGATTCTGTAAGGATGGTTGCGAACACGGTTCTGCTTGTCAGGAATTCCAGACAAGTTGCGGTAGAACTCGCTGATGGCGTCTCTCCAAACGATCGAGTGGCCAGCCTGGTACTTCAGTCTGAAGAGATCGTGGTCAAGCCTGTCATCGTCGATCTTGCCCTTCAGCGACGCCCAGGTCTTATGGAAAGTCTGCGCTGTAGCTGCACCCTTGTAGTGAGCATCATAGAAGTGCTGAATCACAGTCTTGCCAGAGTGGAGCTTGAAAGTGTATGGGACGTGATGGAACCAGAGCATGAGGTCATCGGGGGTGGTTTCGGTGCTCTCGAACCTCTGGGCAACTTCAGAGGGATACTGGCCTGCATTTCCAGTTCCATTCTTGACTGTACGGTCCATGCCAATATGATCGCGAGTTGCCCTGGTCCATTGTCCCCAGCCGTTGTTGTCCTGCGAAGCGGGGTTGGGTCCGTAATGGGCATACAGAATATCGGTCAAGGTCTGAATGCCCAGGTTACCGGAATAGTTCTCATAGGCTGGCCAAGAAGCCATAGACATATCAGTAATTGCCTTTCGGACCTTGTTGTCGAGTCCGAATGTTAGACGCGTCCAGTCTTCGAGAATTTCTTTGGAATCCGCAGTCGGGTCCCATGCGAGACGTCCAAATGCATATAGGTTTGACATCGACAGATGACTTCCGAGCCACGTCTTATCCAAACCAACATTTGTGACACCGGCATATCCTCCGAGACGTCGCTTGAAGACCTTTCCTGACACGACATCGCGAACCTGGGACTTTTCACCGTCGATTCGCATGTCAAAGTCCAGGATCGTCTTCCATAATGGAGGCAGATAGACAAGATGACATTGCTGCCCTAAGTACTCTTGACTGATTTGCAGTTCAATAGCACTATTGGTCTTTCTAAGGTGTGAGAACAAAGGACTAACTGGCTCCCTGATTTGGAAGTCAATAGGGCCGTATTTGATCTGAACGACCACGTTGTCGTCAAACTTTCCATCCAGCTCCTTGAAGAACTCCACAGCAGCGTTGGCACGGTCAGCCTTCCAGTCAGTCCAGTCAAGCTTGTCATAAACAAAAGCTCTGAACATAACGACACCGCCGTGGGGCTCCAGGGCTTTGGCAAACATGTTGGCACCATCAGCCAAAGTGCGGTTATACGTGATAGGTCCGGGCTGGCCCTCTGAGTTTGCCTTGACCAAATAGCCAGCCATATCAGGAATACCATCGTAAAGACCATCGGTCAGGTCATGCCACCACTTAATCACCTTCTCGTCAAGAGGATCAAAGGTATCCAGGCCTCCGAGTAATTGCGGTGATGCAAAGTTGAGAGAGAGACCGACCTGAACACCCCAGGGACGAAGCAGGTCAGCGATCTCGATAAGTCCCTTGCGGTTCTCAGAGTTAAATAGTCTGACATCGGCATTGACGTTGTTGATAACCACGGCGTTAATACCGATGGAGGCGAGAAGACGTCCAAAGAGAGGAACCCGCGAGAGATCCTTTCGCACGTTCTTGACACCGTCGAAAAAGATGGAAGGACCACCGTAGCCTCTTTCGATGGAACCATGGGTCGAGCTTGCGTTGAGATTGTCCCACTGGTTGGCCCACCGAATCGGCGCACTTGGGTTCGATGCGCGCTCAACTTTCTTGAAGTTGCCCTGGCCGAGCATTGAGAGGTACTCAAAGGCGCCATACAAAGCCCCACGCTCATTCTGACCAATGATCTTGACAGAGCTGCCAGAAGTGCTGAGCCAGTAGCCATCGGCCTCAAGCTTGGGATGAGACAATTTGCCCTTGCATGCCTTCTTGAGGTTCTTTTCAGTGGTAACGACAATTGACTGTGAGAAATCGCACGACTTTGAGTTGCTCTCGCTCTTCAGGTCGATGTTGAGAATACCGCTGAAGCCCTTCTGGAGTTCCGAGGTAGCACTGCCGAGGGGACTCTTTGCGGAACCACCAATGACATGGATCTTGCGAGGAAGCGACTTGGCATTAATGGAGACGCTTGATGGCAAGCGAGCATATCTCAGCCAACCATCAATACCGTCCTCTGCGATAACGCAGGTGAACAAAGCGAAGAGTAAAGTCGAGAGCCACATGATGAACTATGACTGCGACTGTGCTGGTCTGTGGCGTTCCGTCTGATTGCAGCGAGGCCATCCATCGTCTTATATCGCAGCATGTCTCACGACGATATGCGGAGTAATTACTGGTGAATTGATTCAGGCTATTTGAATTAGCCTTGGGACTATGGCTACGGCTGAGATCGACAGCCGATGATGCTGTATTAGTTAGTCCATCAATCGGCATCCAGGTTCACTTCGGGGTAAATGGACCGAGCTTCACTGTTCGTCCGGTCTTGGCTGATCTTTGGACGACTCAGGTGGACTGGAGTCATAGTGGGAAAATGGCGGATATAAGGAAATAACATCAGTGAAGCTTTGGGGGAGCTTCATTGGAAACAACCTACGCTACCATAATTGATGATGAGCTCTTTTAACCTGCTATAATCTACGAACTCAGTAGTCTAAACTCTACAATAAGCTTAAGTTCTGTCAATGGCAGATCAATCTGGCAATAGAACGGACGGGACAGTGCGCAGCTTTATTTCCCCGCGAAGTGACATCGGCAATCTCTCCGAGATTCTAGCAATTGCCAATGTTGATCTCTGTACTGAAGCGTGCAAGCTGAAGTTTATGTATTTAGGCAAAAACGATGTCGGCGATCAGTTATGTACGCCGTTTCATGCAGGGGACATGACATGAGAGATCTGCACAACTCATGTATAACATGGATGATGTGCTATGCATATGCTATGCAGAGAAATGCACAGAAATCCATTTTGAACAGAACAGAGCAGACAATTGTTTCGTTTCGCTTCCTTGCCGTCAGGGCCGAAGGGCAGGTATAAGTGCGCCCGCAGTGGTTTAGCGAGTGTAACAGTCACACAGCGCACAAATTGACAACACAACTGGTTTTCTGAAACGCAAATTCTGAGTCAGAGCTTGCAAAATTCGAGTTGGCATGTGCTGGTAGAGCTCGGATCCCTTAAAATTTTCGACTTGGGATGACTTGCTGTCCTATTCTTGGCAGCTTGACTCACTCACAGCAACGAATAGGTCACCTGATCCATTTAAAACATGTGGCTAGTGACTTGTGTAACAGCGAATTTTTGATGAGAATTTTTCTGCACAACGATTGTCATGCAAATTGTGGCGATTTGTGCAAGTATTCATCATCTGATTCGACCGGAACGCTCTGCCAGCGCAGCACGCACAACACTGACCTAACGTTAAACCCGGCACACGGAGACCCAAAATCGAGGCCCTCCAGTGGGTTATCTCCACTATTAGGCGTATAGTGGGTTCCGATGTCAAGCTTTTTTGACTTGGGCCAAAAGCAATGGGATCGTCTTGATCATAGACAAGCATCTTCAGTCTAATCGTCCAAACCCCCCCTGGCAAACTATACAGCCGCTTTACGTTGCATGCATGGCCAAATCAGCTCGAACTCGCATGCCCTCTTACCCAAAATCCACAGGCTAAGGCATGCAAAAGTCTGGTTTGGTCCATGGACCCGTTCTTCATGGCATGTTGGCCGCGTAACAGTTCATCGTTGTTGGCTACATAAGACTGCAGACCACTGTTTTGGTGCATGAGCCCCGTTGAACGTGTTACAGACCTCCACTACGTTAGTAACCGTACAATGTTGAGAAATGACCTCTCTCTAATTGGCATCCTTGCTCTGGGCTTCTCCATGTATAAACCACCACATCGAGAGACTTGACAAGGCCCCCGGATGGTCCTCCGTAAACAACGTCGATCTGGCTATAAAAGCGGGCGGCTGCCTGTTCACCAAACGGTTCTCATTTGGATCATCTCATTCTATCCTTATTCTTACTAGTATAATGCTTAATTAATCTATCTACTATCTATTCATCTATTCATCTCTACTTACCTCTTTTTCTAATAGCCATAATGAAAGACCGGACAAGCGATCATATTCATTTTCCCCAGCATGCTCATCGCATTCCACGACGCTCAGACGGTGTCAGTGGATATAGCGATTTGCTGGGGAGGGCGGTGTTGATATCCATCATCAACTACCTCGCTGATGTTGTCGATGCAATTGAAGACATCAAGCTGCCCAAAGAGCACAAAGATCGTACCAAGCTGAAGAGCGATAAGAAGAGAATGTGCGATACTGCTGTCAGAGGTGCAAACACGTTGACAGCCCTGTTCAATTCGGCAAAGGGCCAGACCAAGTACACAGACCCAGCCCGTGAGTCAATCTCGCTCGACCAACCCCTGCAATCAGCAAATCCATCTAACCTTATCACAGCAAAGAACTTGCCGCTCTACCGAGACGAAATCCGGGGTCAGTTATTGTATCCCCTGTCAAAAGCCAAGACATCGAAGCCCAGCCTTGGCAAATCTTTCACATTCGCCCCATGGCAGCAAAGACTCACCGCCATATTGTCCGGTATCGAGGAAGAAGTCTGCTGGTGGCTCCGGCTTCAACGTCCAGCCAAGGCATATGATAAGCGCTCAACAACACAGAGTCATACAAGCAAGGCATATGGCCAACGCTCAACCGCTAGCAAGCCCTATGATCAATACTCTACACGCACGGGCAAGACTGATCAGCGATCGTCAAGGCCCAAGCAGTCAAAGAGCCATTCTCAGCGAGGGAAGAGGAGCCGTTCACCTTCACCCTCCGGTGGATGTGCTGTTATGTAGCTGGCTACATCTAATTGAGAAGCAGTAGCTAGTCCTACTTACAACATTTGGGTATTTACGGTTTATGGAAGCAACGGGATCATGAAGGAATGAAAACATGGGTGGCACGGATTTTGCTTAGGGATAAAAATGGATTCAGGGAGTCGCTGGCACGGATAAAATTGGGACAACGGACGGCGGTATCTTTCGGAGCCAAATTGCATATATCAACATGGGACGGACGGAACTTTGTTTGCAGTGTAGGATTGAATACACCATTCACAAATTGAATTGATACTTTGTTACTTATGAGCCTCCGTAACTGACACGTGTACGTGACAAATCTTTGTAACCCTGTTGCCTGGCATGGATGTTGATATCTTCCTTGTTCGCTTAAGAATTATCAGCCAAGCAGCTATAAGCCAGACTTCCAGCCTCCTTTGAGTTTTCGTCCGGGTACCCCACAGTCGTTGTTCTGCGCAATCTGTTCTCAAGAAACTGCCGAAACGTCCCGCATGGGATGTCCTCCGAATCATGAAACTCGATTGTGGCCCAGTCCAACTTCTTCATCTTATCGTAGCTCCCATAATGCGCTTCAATGACCTTCATTTCCTGCTTCTTGTCATCTTCCGAGGTATCCGACCCTTTGAATGCTGTGTCATATGCCTCCAAAACCGCCTTGGTACAATCGGGTGTGATTAGCAGAATGCCGAGGACATCCTCGCGACCAATTTCAATGTTTGGGCCGGAGTTTGGCCAGTCATCTCTCTTCGGTAGATCCAGCGCAAGTACTCCACTGATACTTTCGTGAAATTGAACAAAGGGGACTTCAAATAAAGGATCAGACCATTGGACGTCGTCGACGCTATAGAGAGGAGGGTCGAGGTGAAAGCCATTCCATGTACCTCCAAACCCATTGGTGATCTTCAGAAACTCTTTGTAATCATCTGGCAGTGTCGCTTTCAGCTTCTTCTCGAGTGATGATATCTGCTCATCTGTAGCCGGTGGCAGATTGAAGAGTGTTGCCGGGGGATCTTGTTCCATCTCTTCCCAGTATCCGAGGGACTTGGGCTTCGTGTTGCGTTCGAGCTCCAATAGTACGTCTTTCATGGGTTTTGACTCTATGTCTAGTGGTTTTCGACCTTTACTAAAACGCTCTGCGAATGTCGCAACGGCGTCTTTGCCAAGGGCTTCGATCTTCAGCTTGTCAACAGGGACTCTTCGGGCCAATGCACCTGTAGCTAGCAGTCCACTGAGATCATGGCGTCCAGCAAGACGCGAGATGACCCCTCGCTTGTATAAGTTTTGGGCGATGAGTCCAAGAACTTCTTGAACTCTCGAATCGTTCTGGATTTCTTCCAGGTCAGAGGTCTGCTTTGAGGCCAACCTGAAGGCACTGGCTAGGGCATCAGCCAAGCTTGAACCGTCCGCGCCATATTGGTGGACCTTCTTTATCTGTTCCTGGAAGTTGCCTTTGTCATCTTGTTCCTCGACATCGTCAGTGTCGAGGGCGTGTTTGGATGCTGTCTTATCAGACACTGCTTCACTTCTTTCCTCCTCAGGGATTTCATCAGGCCATACGTCGGCAGCCGCAAAGAATGGCTCAAAATGATGGAGTTGCTTGCGTTGCCATTCCGAGGTAGTATCCTGGAGGAGCAGTGAAACTAAGTCTTTGGCGGTATCGATTTCACCAAGCACAGAGAACTCTTCGGCCAATTCAACCAGCTTGTTGTAAACTTCCGGAAGTGAAGTGTTGGTCAGGATCACTTCGCGATCAAATTTGTTTGGTTGAGCCATTGCGATGAATATGAGGGTGCAGGATGTTTAACGGTGTTGAGGGTTTGATGCAAACATGTTTTGAGTGTCTCAGCCTGCTTATGCTTGACGTCATGCGGCTCGGGCACTTCTCGATGGAGGATAGATCAACCTTTCACTTACATAAATAAATAAATCGTATCGTTCAATCGGGTCGGGATTTCTCGGTGCGATATTGCATGTTCAGCGTCCTGTACCACAAAAGGATGATTGGTAGCCCATTCACATCGTAGGCAAAAGTTTTATGAGTTCGGCGAATGGTGAAAAGATTGGGTAGTGAGGAAATGCGACAAAGGTTTTTTAGGGCCTAAACTACAAATTTTCAACATAAATATATTCACTTTCAATGGCAATGACTTGCTTTCATTGTTTCTTCATTCTCCAACACGCTTTGTGCTAATTTAACAGCCTTGTCGCGACGGTGAGCACGGAGAGTTTTAACATCAACTAGGCCACGGGCGGATACACTGCTGCCAGGATTCAGGTCAAGAAACGAAACAAAGACAAGCATTTCCCTGGCAGTGGAGCTTGCGTCCCAGTAATGATCCGTGAGGACATAAGCAAGCAAGAGAGGAGCAAGAAGCGGCAGACATAAAAAGAAAGTAATCTACAAGCTAGCTAGAGTCTAAGAAGTTGCTGGGGAATGATTTGCATGGGATAAGTCACTTATAGATGATGAGAACGATGAATTGTCCTAAGACTGCTTCGTATTAAACAGACAAAGCTAAAAACTATGAGCACAGTACCAGACTATCCCCTCTTCATCTAGGTGTTTTGAAACGATCAACAGGACTCTTTTATACATGAAGGTTGACCAGCCACCTCTTCAACTCTTCCATCTTTGCTTCAGCTTCCCCCCTTCAGTAAGACAAAACACTACAGCGTCTCCTAGAAAAAAGGTTGCTCGCTTAAGCGGAGCAGGGAGAGCCTTTGGAACCAGTCTGTCCCTGGAACTGCTGGTTGGCGGCACCGGGGAAACCACCCTGGTTACCGCCCTGGAAGCCACCGTTCTGGCCGTTGTTGTTGCCAGCGGAGGGAGCGGCGGAAGGAGCGGCAGAGGGAGCAGCCTGCTCACCACCGTTCTGCTGACCGTTACCGGCCTCGGGAGCGGGGGTAGAAGCAGGAGTCTCAGTGTTGCCAGCGGCAGGGGTCTCGGTGTTACCACCGGTAGAGCCACCAGTAGAGCCACCAGCGGAAGCGGCACCGTCCCAGACCTTGGGGCCGGGCATGGGGAAAGCCTTAGCACCGTTGTAGATGGAGAAGTTGGCGTACTCATCGGTGTCCTTGTAGGCACCGGGGAACTTGACCATCTCGGCGTCGACAGTGCCGTCGGAGCCACCGGTAACCTTGACCTGAGCGCAAGAGACGTAGTGCTCGGGCTGGTTGACGTGGGATCGGTGGATACCGATGTGCTCAACTCGGAGGAGGTACTCGCCGTTGGGGGTACCCTGGGGGATCTTGACGTCGAAAGAGGGGGCGTCGTAGTTGCACCAGGCGTCCTTGGTGAAGTCACCACTGGCGTTGCAGACACCCTCCTCCATGATCTTGAACCAGTCGCCGTCACCCTTGTAGGACTTGACGTCGCTACCAGCGGCGGACATGTAGGCCAGAGTAGGTCCGGGATGACCCATCTTGGCACCGACAGCGAGCTTGAAGGTCATGACATCACCACCCTTGACCTCGAGGACCTCGGTGTTACCACCGGTTCCGGTGGCACCCTGGTTGCAGATGATGTCCTCACCATCAGCGAAAGAGTTGTCGCGGATGTCGGCGGAAGGGTTGGAGGAGAACTTGATGGGGTTGTACTTGGTGGGACGGGTGAAGTCACGGATGTACTGGAAGGACTTGGACTCAGCACCGTTGAGAGCGCTGACGTCGAAGAAGTAGTGGGCAGAGGCGACCTGCGAGAGGGCAGCGAGGGCGAGGGCGGAGAACTTCATTTTGAATAAGGTCGGTTGGTTTGAGGGATAGTAATTTGATTGGTAGTGCTGGAGACTGGCTCGGTTGAATTGGAACGAAAGGAACGAGAGACTAGCTCTTCGAAAGAAAGACTGAAGTGAATGAAAGAAGATGAAGATCTGTTGATGGTGATGAGAAGGAAAAAAGTCGAGGAGGACAGAGGACATGAGATATCTTTATAGAATCCGGACCTCGACTCTCCCTACCATCAATCTTTGGCGCCGCACAGGGATCTCCCATTCTGCACGGCGCGGCACCGCACTCGGCCTTACACTAAGTTAGACAGAGCCAGTTTTTCGTCCGGTGAGAGAATGTCCTTGGTCCTTGGAGCGCCTGAAGCCCCCAGCTCATTCAATTCAAAACGCCAAGATGGGAAAAACATTTCTTCTCCATAGGCAAAAGAACCCGGTCATGTTGGTGGTCTTCGCTTCCCTATCTCGATCAGACTTGTTGTTACAGAGTGCGGCGGGCGGCAGCCGCATCTTCTAGGGGTTGTTTCAGTGGATAGAATGTTATTGCACCAATCAACAACGCTGTTTAATTTAACTAAGGTTGTTGACAGCTCGTTTAGGTTCGTTCGCAAACCGCGACAAAACAACCTAAAAAATATGCTTCAAAGGCGGGTAGATTAACTCTAAGCTTTGGCTGATCAACTAAAACTTCATTAGTCGAACTATCTCTTCCTTTGCCCGATTCAATCGTAGTTCTGTAGCTCCAATTAGGCTGTGGCAGACCTAGCCTGAGTCTGTCCTCGCGGCGATTCTCGCGGCGCTGATTGAAGTAAGGCGAGACCATGAAACGCTCATTTCAATCAGGGGGGCTCAAGACTTCTTGGCGGTAGGGGTCTGGAAACGATGTCTTTTTGGGTAGTGGGGGGAAGCCCCTGGCTGGTGATCATAGCTTCACCAAATTAAGCTGACCGCTGAGCAGTCTATTCTTGTTAACCTTAAACGAACCTAGACGAGGTCGTCGAATTTGCAAAATTCATGATTTGTGGTGGTACCAGGTGAGGTTCTCGTCGAGATGGTCCAGCCTATACATACAAAGCGCTACTATAACGATTCACTACATGTTATCGAACCACATGAACTGATCTTCAGAACAAATGTGAGTGCCAAGGTGCATGAGACTGTTTTGTTTTGTTCGGCGAACATGTTTTTCATGGAACGTGAAACTGGCCGCGAAGTTTATGGCTTGAGCGGCTCCTCACCACGGGATGAACCATAGTCAGCACATACAGGACGTTTGATGTCAAACTTTAGTATGGGCCGATGCCCAAAGAGTAACTCTTGCGGTGGCATACGGTAGACTAGTCAGGTCCCGGTTTACTGAGAGCTCGATCTGATCCGAGCGCAACGGAGACTAGCACGGCTCTTGCATTGCGAATCTTGGTCCTTTGCTAGGCCATTTAGATGGCATTGCTCCGTGGTCCCGGATTCCTCCCGCGGGAATTATACTGTATTGATTCATGATGTTGAATCTCACCATTTTCGTATGGCTTTCATTGTGACCCTGCTGTACTCGAGACAGCTACGGTTTCAACAATACGCATGTTCCAATGGCAGATGGTGTGAACAAACAGCCTGTAAAACGGCCGTAAACGTCCATCGAGTGGCGTCGGATGCATTAAGTGCATAGTAAATGCTACGTACGCAAGTTATTGAAAGAACCTGGGTAGCCTTAATTGCAGAAATTGAGGTTGTCTTGCTTAGAGTTTGCTGTCAACTTAGGGGCCTGCGATCTTGGCAGGGGCCACAAATAAGCTTATCCGTGGAGGCTGAGTGAATAGCATCTTCTGCATGCGTTAGTGGAAGATAGTCCCTCCAGAGTTAATTACCATGCGAGATCACTTCATTAAACTGACACTTGGGAAAGCTCTAATTTCATCTCAATCAATGTCAAAGTTCCTTGGCATTCACGCCTTGTCCGATTACATAAAGATGAGCTCAGCAAATCTCAAACTCAGGCGTTGAGGCGCTAAGCCTTTACAGGTCGGTGTTTGCGACCACCGACAGCCGGGAGCTGAGAATCGCCAGGCTTGATCCTCTGAACGGGGCAAAACATAAGCTAGAAAATGCCAGTATTCTATCCCCGACGACCGATGCCCATGAAAGCCGATGATCTTGCTCCCTATCTGACTTGTGAACCTGGAATTTCACGACTAAAGATGACGACTGGTCAGTGCAAGCCTGCTAAGGGGAAGCCATCCCGTTGTGGGTCCCCGGGTTTGGAGGATCTAGGGATTCCAACACTTCGGGAATCCATATAAACTTTCCGCCAGTCGCTAGTCCAGAATATTCTCTAGATCTCCGCTTCTATATATGTGTTCTATTATTACCTGACGCCCTTTCCGCGCCGCAGAGAGATTCCATGATGGTCCCAGCTTCGTTTCGTGGGGTTCGTTCTGTATCCATGACTGGTTGAGCTGAGCGACGAACTTGTGCTCTCAGCTGGAGTCGCAAGTGCCGTCGTATGTATCAAAGTCCGTCGGACATTCAGCATTTACCGGAGAATTCAGAATTTGGGAAGGAGGCAAATTGATGCTGTCTCAAGGCCTGTCATGAAGCTGCAACAAGCATGCCCTATATCTCGTTGGTGGAAGATCATGTAATGAAGAATCTTACTGTTACAGTGGCGGGTATCGAATATCTGTGCCGCTATTGCCAATGTAACGCGATGACGAGCGGGGTGATCATCCCCTTTTCTCCGAAAGTCAGGAGGTTATTCATACTACAGGATTCGGTCAGGCTCTGTGCTACAACGTCTCGGTTGGAAGCTAGATACCATGACTAGGAGCTTTTAATCACACCATAGAAATGAATATTAGAAACAGTACATATGCAAACTTGTCCGACATTTTGACTCGTACAGCAGCGCTTCTTGATAACTCTAAATACGAATTCTAATATCCTTCTAGAATGGTATTGATCCCTACTAGACTCATTCATAGCAATAGCGCGAGATTTATTACATATGCCGTCAAGGAACGGCACACCTCCATGCTCAGATCTTGTCTTGACACTTCTGCTGTGGTTTCGTCACATCGCATTGGATCTTCAGACTGTGACTCTACGATGTGACACTATAATCGGGTCTCTACATAGAAGATGCTGAGTTATTTTTGAATATTCTATGGCAAGATTCCATTTCTATCAAAACATAAGATATAAACGGATGGCGTTATAACATTATTAAGTACCTAGCCACTACTTAGCATTGAATATTAGGCTCCGTGCTATTGGAGCTCACATCTGGTGAATCATTTTTATTCTGAGCAGCGCGTAGATATAAGGATAGATATGACAAGCTAGTAGGCATACCAGAGAAGCAGACATGATGTACAACCATATTCTCAGAAGACGGCTGTAGTGTCCATGCCAAATCGAGCCAACTTGTACCATTTCTTTAGGCCGAGGCCCAATGGACTCGATAGTGAATGCCATCAGTGGTCAAGCCGCTATTTTTAGGGGGATCAGTCCCAACCAATCTCGTGACCAGGGAGCAGGAGCGGAAAGTCTTCGTCCTCTGGTCCGGTCCCCATAATTAACCCCACAAGCCAGCCATTTTGGTCGTATCGATAACAAATCAACAATCCTGCACAGCAACAAAGACGTGAATCAAGAAACACTTGCAAGTGCTAAAGAAATGTTGAAGGAATGGTATAATAATTGATTTGGGCTGAAATTTGTCCGTAATATTGCACTTGCAATTCTGTCACTTCAGGGTGAACTCACTTTCCTTACATTGATACTACTTGTTGCTACCACGACTAACCAAGCACCATCCCTCGAGTCGGCAAATGTTCCGTTGCCATTAGATTGCATGAAAACAATGCTAAATCTGCAAGCGCAGTCCAAATCCAGCAAAGCCACTCTCCCTTTTTGTGACAAAAGTCATGAGATCAACACTTATCATGCTGTGAGAACACTTAGCTCTGTACTTCAACAGTCGAGAATGTCGATCAACTTACCCTGCATTGCAAAGGGCTGCTTTGACTTCCGCCCCGCTCCTCTCTGAGGTGCCCACCACAAATAACCGGAATTACCAATTTCCGTATTCTTTCGGCGACACGTACGTATCACTACTTGCAGCATGAAGGCCTCAGAACCCAACGGCTGGACTAATTCATCCCTTGGGCTCTGACTTGAGTCAAATTGCTTGTGCTTGGGTCGCACGGCTTTTTGTGGCACTTACAACAGGGTGTAAGACTTTGTGATATGGAATCTTTCTGACATCATAATTTGGTGTTTGGCGCGTCTGAGCGACAGCCTGATAAGATAAGACGCGCTCAGTCCCTCACTTCTGAGTTACCATTCACTGCAGGGCATGCTTTTGACGATGCTCCCTTGGTTATTAGCATGCCTCTGATCAGCATGAGTGATTTAAGTCCTCATTCAGTGATTTGCTGCGATACATCTCGACCCAGTTCCCAGGTACCTGTGGTCAACAAGAAGCAAAGCTCAGCTCCGCTAATCACTGAGCCATGTCGATCATTCACACTCACGGTAAGGCCTCAAAGCCACGCGCCAGGTAATCTCCCTTGAAAGCCAAAGCAACTGCAAGGGGCACCCATCACCCGAAATAATGAAGCCAAAAGTGAGATTTCGATCCAATGAAACACAAAATCTATCACGAAAGTTTGATCTTCGATTGTGATGGCTGCGTCTGTGCAGCAAGTTGTTTGCCCATCCTGGTTTAGTCGCGAGAGTTTCGACAGATCGTCAGCCCCCGAAATTGTAGCCGTGTCTCGATGAGCCAATGAATCACTGCTTGTTGATGGGTATGATTGAGTGACACATGCGCGTTTCCTCACAGCTGAGCTGCCTAGTGCGATGATGCTGTTACACTATCAGTCATATGCTGCAACCTCGAATCATTCACTGGCCTGTGGAGATTCTTATTACTTAAACCCATGGGTGCTGCCATCTGACGTCCCCAGCTGCTGCTGCATATGCCAAGTACCTGATTGTAACATCTCACAATGGGTTCACTGAAGCTATCACGAGGTACTAGTGAGACCAGCCGCGCGAGCCGCGCGAGCCGCGCGAGCGACCCTGGTGAGCGTCGCCTGCCTACTACGCCGCCAATGAAGATCCTCTTTCTCTGCACGGCGCATAACTCGCTCTCTCAGCAGCTGTATCTTATCCTCAGCCAGAAACACGATGTCACGATTGAGTATGCGCTATCCGACAAAGCCATGATCGAAGCAGCCGCCCTGTTTCGACCAAACGTCATCGTCTGCCCCTTCATGACTACACGGGTCCCAAGCGAGATCTTCTCAAAGTATCTCACCCTCATCGTCCATCCTGGACCGCCAGGTGACGCGGGACCAAGCGCCCTCGACTGGGTGCTAATGGGCGACGATGGCAACGTCGTAGATTCCGATCAACTACTCAAATCCCAGTCCTGGAGCCAGAATGGCCGGTCGCATTGGGGTGTCACAGTCTTACAAGCTGTTGATGAGATGGACGCTGGTCCAGTCTGGGCATTTGAGCAGTTCAAGATCGACATCGATGCGCCCGGAGTCACCAAGTCAACACTCTACCGCAAAGAGGTGACCCAAGCCGCGATCACTGCCACCGCTACTGCTCTGCACCGCATCGTCTCGGCAGCTAACGGCTTTTCCGATTCAGGCGTCGCAGCGGCTCTGTCGCGACTGTCACTGCTGGAGAAGCAGGATATTCGTGGTATCTCCGTTGACCTCGTCCCCAACCGCAATTATAAAATCCTATCAGTGACACTGCGCAAGCCCTTTCTCGGCGGACCAACATATCGCCGACCACTTCTCAAGGCAGCGGACCGCAACTTCGACATCCAATACGAACCCTCTCGGACGATATCGCGAAAGATCAGGTCTGCTGATTCGCAGCCTGGCTGCCTCACAAAGCTGTTTGGAGGAGTCGGTCTCTATGTCTACGGAGGTACAATTGAGGCTGGGAGAGATGCGAAATGCAAGCGTGGACCTGGACAGATCATTGGCTGCAGAGACGATGCTGTCTGCATCGCCACATGTGATGGGCAAGGCATCTGGATCACTCATGTCCGCCGACTGAAGCGCAAGGTTGATCCGATGCTCTGGCCCAAAGTCCCTGCTGTCTCAGGCCTTCTCGATCTTGGCCTCATCGACCAAAGCACCCTTAAGAGTTCAGTATCGCTACGCCCCCTCTTCGGCTGGTCTAAGCCAATATACTCAACCCATCAAGAGATTTGGGTAGAGTTTGCTGCGAGTGCAGGCAAGCGTCAAGTCGCCTTCGTCTACTTTGAGTTCTACAACGGTGCCATGAGCACCTCTCAATGTTCGCGACTCATTGAAGCTCTTGAATTCGTCGGGTTACACGAGGCTCTTGATGCTATCGTACTTATGGGCGGCGACTCGTATTTCAGCAACGGTATTGCCCTCAATGTCATCGAAGCCAGTGATGACCCTGCAGCAGAGTCTTGGAAGAACATCAATCGCATTGATGATGTGGTGCACATGCTACTGGATATGTTTCCTCGGAAGAACGTCACTACTATTGCGGCGCTGAGAGGAAATTGTGCTGCTGGTGGCGTGGCCTTGGCAGCGGCTTGTGACGTGGTTATCGCCGGCTCCGAAGTCGTCCTCAATCCCGCCTATCGAACTCTCGGACTCTACGGCTCTGAGTATCACTCTCTATCCTACGTCGGGCGCTGTGGACCAGAGCGCGCAAGATATATCTTGCGCGCTATGCTGCCCATATCTGCTTCTCAAGCAAGAGACATGGGTCTTGTAGATAAGGTCCTCCCAGCTTCTGGACACTTCCTTGACATGAGAGTACGACACTATGTCAAAGAGATGAGCTTCACGACCTACAATCCCGGCAAGTGGAAGTCCAAGGTCGACGTGAGCCACGCTGGGCTCACAGCAGCAAGAACTCTTGAACTCGGCGAAATGGCCAAAGACTTCTGGAGCGCTAGGTCCGAGAGGTATAACACACGACGGCAGGACTTTGTTCGGAAAGTCAAGCCAACACAGACCCCGCTACGCTTTGCGACTCATAGACGACGAGATGGGGACCTCGATGAGGAAGAGTCTGACTCTTTCGATGATGTTGCGGTGTTCGAGGAGCTGGTCATTGAGAGAATTTTGAAGGACAGGTTATCCAAGATGGATTCGAGGTTGTTAACTCTCCATGAAGAACTCAGGTCTCACGACCAACCATCTAGCACAGGTGGTGAGACAAGAAGGGCACAGGAAGGCAAGGGTTTGATGTTTCCTTGTTATTATGAAGTCGATACCCACGTTTGCACTTGATTCTAGTTTTAATTCAACTTATTCGCCATCTCAAAATGAGCTATCAAGTCATTTCATTATTGCCAACCGTTCGCCACATAAAGTCTTTGACAGTACAATCGCTCTCGGAACCGAAAATGAACCCAATAATGCTTGATGAACCAATACTCCAGACTTCGCCAGGCGCTGGCTGTAGCAACAAAAGCTGTGCTACGACAAGTACTCTTGCCTTTTCATGGCTGCTTCGTGATCTTGGCATAGCACTTCGTAAGGAGCAGATAGAAATTTGTCCAAATCCACATTACACCGGACCGTCTCGAGTGCTAACTTCCTCCTCATCGCCCGCTTGATGATCTCTTCTTGTTTGGCAATGTCCTTCTCCAGAGATGCGATCTTGTCTTGTCCATCTTGATGTTGCTTGTTCTTCTGACTTTCCTCTTCTATCGCTTTCAAAGTGTTTTGGGCATTCTCAAGCTCTTTCTGCGCGTTCTCATATTCCAGGATAAAGCCGTCGTACATGGCCTGCAGAGTGTCTGAACACTTCCCACCCTGATTCTCGATCACCGTGCTAAGGGTGTTCTTTTCCTCGCCTAGTTGCCTCACTTTCTCTTGCTTTTCGTCTCGGTCTCTAGTGGCTTTTTGGAGGACGTGTCTGACCTCCATGTCGATTGCAGTTAAGTTCATCCGGGTACTGTGTATCTCCAGGTTGTATACGTTGCTCCAGAATTCAGCTGCATCAATCCTTTCACATGCGGTCCGTAGGCTGCGATTGATAGCATAGAACATCATCGTTTCCTATGAAGTGAGACAAAATTAGCGTCTGCGCTTATGTGAATAGCTAGGACGCGGTACTGACACCTTGCCTGAGACAGGCTTCTTCCTCAGCGTCGGCATCGACTAGGCTGGATGCTCCATTGGTGTCATTGATATTGCTCGATAGGAATTGTTCGACCTGGCGCGAGCGTTTGCTGGGGACTGGCGAAGGTGCTAAGGTGCTGTCAGTCATGGATTGAGGTCAAGAACGAGATACAAAGAAACATACGAGGAGGCATGTCCCGCTTCTGAGTCCAAGTCCGATCCGGCGGCGGCGGAGGGGAGTGTTGACGCCGATCGGAGGGACCGATTGCACTGCTCACGTTGCTGATATCGCTGAGAACACTCATTTCTCTGCTGAAGTCAATCCCTGGGAATGGATCGTTATCGTCTTCATGATCATCATCGTCGTCAAGCTTGTCTTGGGGCTGCTTCTTTTGAGCGATAGTGAGCCCGCGCCATGTACTTGGTCTCGCTTTACTAAATGCACCATCATGGGCCGAACGTTTGTGCTTGTTCTGTTCCGATGTGCTTTGGGAGTTGACCATGTTGTCTTCAATCCACTTTCTAGCCTTGGCGCAATCCGAGTTCATGGTGGGTTTGACTGGCTTGCCATTCTTGCTCACTTCCTGGCGCTCCTTGGCCTTTTGTACCAGGAACTCACGCAATTCTTCCATGCTAACCGTGGATCCAGGGGCGTGAACAGCTTCAACGGCAACGGCAAGGTTCCGCGCGGCGTTGGTCCCCCAGGCGGCGACCTTGGGAACGTAATCGCGTGGCAGCCAGTCCCAGGGATACTTGCCAGATGCATTGTAGATTCGATTGACGCATTTTTGCACTTCTGGATTTGCATCACCAACCCCAATGTCATCGTAAGAGGCTGGTGCCTCTTCGTGGTTCACATTCATGGCATTTATGTTATGGAATTCGTGTCTGTGTTGTGGGTCAGAGGAGTCGGCGGCAACGGTGGGGAGATAGATGTTTCGAAGATAATAGTAGGTAGGCGAGCCCTTTTGACGCGAAGAGAGAAGCTAGGGTCGCGATGAATATGAATCAGGGAAAAAAGGAACCAGGCTCTGGGCCTGTTGCCGCATAGCAAGAGCAAACAACTTTCGGTCCAAGCCATGGATCTGTCGGGGAAACTGAAGCCGAGCTCCGTTTCATCTCTGCTCTGCGTAACATGGCTTAATTGCAAAGGGAAAAGAACCCTCATAGAGGTCCAGGCAAACGACGGGAGGCTACGGTTACACGCCATAAGCAAATAAACTGTTGGCAGTGTTTGGCAGTGTTTGGCAGTGCTGTTGGTTGATGTGCGGCCGCTAAATAAACCCCAACGCTTCAGTGGGGTACAAACGTCCCCCGCGAGGGTGAGGACGGGATGTTTACCAGGCAGGCTACCTTAGCCGGACAAACACGCTGCAATCAACAAGCTACCTTAATCATGTGAGGGCACACTCGCCCGGGCATTGGCCGAGGGGGCCTAGTTAGAGTATCGCTGGTTGGTGCACATGTATTGTGCTTCCTCTAACGTCAATGTCGTTTTCTAACGGGCGGTTTCATTTGTAACGTCTGGGTAGGTACTTGTAGCTCGGCAGGCACTATCGTATATCTCCGATTGACACGATTTGCAGGCCGGTTTGTTTCACTAATATCATGAGCTTCACAGAATCGCACGAATGGTACCTTGCCCATCTCTTAACTGTTGTTCCTGAGAGCCAGGATTCAGGCAATCGGTTACCATTAAGCGCCACCTTCAGCCGCTGTCTGTGCCCTGCGGATGAATACCGCCGCTGCCTGTGGGGATGACTACCGCCTATAAGGTTAAGCTTTAGGCTGCGAACACAACTGCGATCTCAGAAACCTTAGCGGCTAACAGTGCTGTAAATTTAGTGGGCCTTAGGGGCTATGTTCGCGTCCAGCCAAACGATGCCCACCATTGCGAAAATAGGAATTCGTCGGTCTTTTGCTCAGCTCAATTCAATAACAGCATCGAGACAGGCATAAACGATGCGTCAAAATAGAACAGACTTCACTCTTGAAGATATGACTCTACAAGAATTAGGGCAACCCATTTGTAAGAGAGCGAAGGGCTAGGCGGCTGCTTGGGATGTGCAGGCTCTTGCATCCCAGGAGCGCCAGATCGCAGCTTGGCGATGGCTTCATGGTTATGGCCATAAAACTAATAGGACTGAGCGTGCGAGACGACTACAAGCCGAGAGTTGTGAGCGCAGCTAGCTTTCTCGTCACAATTTGCGAAACAAGCGAGATGCAAGCAAACGCTCACAGCTTAGATACTATGAAGTCCTATCGTATCTGGGTAACACAAACCGCACGATTCTATGGACTTTTTGTTTCTTTTGCTTGCTTGCCACATCATATAGATAACTAGAAGTTATATCATCTCCGTTAATGAAAACTAAAGGTCGGACTTCTATGGCTTTCTCCCCCAGATGAAGTAGACAGGAAGATACAGATGAATAGAGGGATTTCGGAGCTCCCCTTTCGCCTTCGCCATAAGAACTTGGGTTTCCTCTTTGCCCCATCCAAGGACCTTTTCCAGAAGCATTGGCGTGTAAGAGTCAATGGCCGCACATGATTGAACAACCTGGCATTTGCCTACTTCCTTTAGGATAGGATCTTTAGGCCAGGCACCAATTGGAATCTGCCTCATTATCAGCCAACGGCAAGTTTTCTCATCAGTTATAATGCTCACCTTTCGGACTTCTTCGTGGACATCCACAAAGCCCGCCTTTACCACCTTATCTTTCCAGTTCATGGCGCAGTCTATAGGCTTTCCGAATTTGCTGCTGCTGTCGCGTACGGCTTCAGCCCAGACCTCTGCATTCACGGCCTTCTTGATCGAGTCATCATCTGACATGAAGAAACCACGCTGGGCTTGAAGTTCAAGATAACCGCCGCTGTTGAGGTTCTCAAACGCACGATCAAAGAACTGCTGCTCGTTGCCAATGCATCCTTCGAGCTCTCGGGCATGGATGTAGTCGAATGGCTTCTTGTAAACCCATGGGTCTTCAAAGTCGTCGACTTCAAAAACACAGTTGGTAGGAACCCTGCATAGAAATATGAGTATGGACAAAGGAAAGACATTATGCTCACGACTCACCAGTCAGGCTGGATGGGGCTCAGATCTGTCCCGACTACTTCGGCTGAAGGGTGCTCACTTCCTGCGGTCAGCAACAGGACTTTAGGCAGTATCAAGAGGCTACAACCTACTCTGCAAAATCGATAGCCCAAATACCAGTACCTGTGCCCAGATCAAGCACACGTTGGAGGTTGTCGATTGGGGCAGTATGAAGCTTCCCCGAAAGAAGAAGACTGTAGATATGGTGAACCAGATCCATGCGGTTTTGCTCTTCGTCGTCGTTTGGCTACATTATATGGTTAGTCGGCTTGCACTTGAACTTTCGATAAACGAGAAGACTTACCACCAAGTATGCTCCTTCGTGGAATGCATGGTATCGACGACCGTGCTGTTGGGCTGTTAGGTCACCAGCCGCCCATGAATCTTGCATACCCTACCTCATATCTACATAGTTTTAGTAAGAAGCATAGTTGGCTATAAGTATGACCAAGATCTTACCTGTAGCTAAATATGCTTGATTTGAGAGATGTCATATAACTGGAAGAACCCTCTCTGCACTGACTGTCAGTACATAATTCACAAGATGTCTATCCCTATGACTGACCCAAGGTCCAATATCGAATCAGTGTCTCCCCCATCATCCTACTCTTCGTTAGTATACTTATCGTCCCATAGTGCTGGGTATGGTACCTCTGCTTCTAGCACGCCAGGTACATGAGGAGGGCTTTCAGCACGAGCGGCTGTTGGTTGAGCAGCTGGGGAAGCCATTTCGCCGACAATGTAAATTCACTGCAGGGCCTGGAACCCAACACTGGGACGCCCCCCTCTTTATGATCTGTTCATGCTTGCGTGTAACTTAAGTGGTATCATACGCTGTATCCCCACTCGGCTAATATTAAGGATAGACGAGACCAATTGGGATGCACACCGTTTCCGTCTCCGGCTTCTGGGATTATACCCTTGGCGATCGACCTTGGTTCCCGAGCGGGCCGCCACTTGTCATTCTTCACACGAGCTACCCAGACTACCTTGACTAACGGCATAGAAGTGATAGAGCGCTACGACCATAGTCTCGAATGACCGACAACGAGCTTTTCGGATACTGGAAACCCTCCAGGCACTTCTCTATAGCTCGCATGCATTCATGTATGTATGGTGTGGAGATGGTCGCAACCCCTGTCTCATGAAGTTGTTGGTCGCTCCGAAACCCTGTTTAATACAAATGCACTGCAACCTGCTCGGTATTCAGCACCATAAAGGGAAGGCATATTAGCCCTTAACATTTGATGCGATCCTGGTAAATTTCACATGCGGTTGGCGCCCATTATGCAACGATTGCTGTCATTTCTATGGACAGCATCTTAGCAGCTTTTGGCAAAGGTGTACGGAGCCGCACGACAAAGGTTCGGGACGTCAACACTGACAAGCATGTTAACTACAATCTGAGGAAATGTCATTGCCTGACCTCAGAGTTTCCAGTAGTAAACCAGAGAGCTCGTAGAGGTACTGAGTAGAGATTTTTATCTTGTGGAGTGCGGATGGATATGGATCTGCAGCGTGGGCCGCAAGTTGGTGGCCCAACTGTCCTCTGCTATGCCTGTATTGTAGAGGCTATAAGCCGTGACGACAGCGTGACTAGTACATACGACCATAGGTAGTGGAAAATACGGGATCCCGTCTGCTCTCCCATAGTCAAGCCACTAACCGGCGGATTAGTAGTTGGGTCGGTGACGACCAGCGAATCCCCGCTGTTGTATGTTTTTTGGTGATTCCCTATTCTATCTTTTTGCTATTGCCTCGGGTAATGTCTCTATATCACCTCTTGGAAGCTTCCGAAAGTCTGGCGTGCAGTGGCTGTACCGTGGTGGGCGGTTACTTGTATCACTCTCTTTAACTTTACTATCCGCGAATTGCAGTGATAAGATGCGCGGTAAAGCGGAGGACGAGCATACAAAACCCCAATGGAGAACATTTTTGTGGGCTGTCTTATTACTGCTGATAGGCGCCATTACCGTTGAGATGGAATGAAGTGGACTTCGATCTAGTAAGGCACTGGAAATCTCATGATTGTGTAAGCGCGTTTTCTGTAAAGTATGCTGTTCGGGTTTCAAAGAACTTCTGTATTTTTGTTACTGATTGCTACGCTACGACCAAATATCAAGCCAAATTCATCTTCTCGAGGTCCCTGAGAAAAAACTGCTCAAGCCCAAGCCAGATTTCGAAGACTGACTTCTAGTTACACCGCACCTCAACCTTACAACTTGGCCGATGGACCGAGGCCTAGATCCTTGATGATGATATCTGCAGCCTTCTCACCAACAACAATAGCAGTGTTGTTCGTGTTCGCACCGACGTTCTCCGGAGGAATACTCAAGTCAGCCAACTTGAGGCCCTTTGTACCATATACATTCAGTCTCTCGTCCACAACACCGTTCTTATCACGAGGCGCCATCCTGCAAGTAGAGATGGAGTGCCATGTCGTGGCAACATTCTGTCGAACCCACTCCTCAATGGCCTTGTCATCTTCCGCCGAGTACTCGAGATCTGTGACATTGCCGAGAGCCTCGTTGAGCTCCACCGACGCGGCCTTGGAGCCTGAGGGCCATGCTGGGTGACCAGCTGCGATCTCACCACGATACATCTTTGTTCGACGCATGATCTCTCGGGACTTCTTGTATGCCCAAATTTGCTTCTTCAAGTCAATGTCATTCTCGTCACTGAGGAACCCAACATCGAAGTCAAGAGGGTCGTCGAGTCCAGCGCCGGTGATGTGGACGTGGCCGCGAGAGTATGGGTAAGCAGTGTAGTTGCCGACGGTGACATATTGCTCTTCAGGCACGGTCGAGGGATCTCCAAGGAAGCAAGAGATCATGCCCATCAACATCAAAGGTCGATTGGGGTGATTCTTGAAGTCCCGGTCCCAAGCCTTCTGAAACTCAGGCCCAAGTGCAGCGACGTCAGTTTCCGTAGGCCGGAGCTTAGAAGAGATATCAATCGCATTCCATCCCAACATGGAATCTTTTGACTTAATAAACTCTGGGCGCTTGTCGGGGTTCCTGAGGATTCTGTCGGCTGTTTCGTGGGGTTGGAGATTAGTCCTGTAAGGATAGAGAATAAGGTTGTGATCCTGATACTCGTGGCCAACTCCAGGTAGGTCAACCTTTACGTCGACGCCAGCTTTCTTAAGGACGTCGGGGGCACCGATACCCGACCTCTCAAGCACAGGTGGTGTACCCAGAGCACCACAGGAAACAACGACCAGCTTCCGAGCCTTGACACTCAACGTCGGATGTTGGGTTGGCGTGATTTGAGCCTGGAATGCTGGGTTAGGAGTATACTCGACACCAACAGCTCGCTTGTCATCATCAAGAAGAACGCGGACAACCTTCGACTCCACGAGAACATGAAGGTTCGGATACTTCTTGTTGTCGATCTTGTTGTGAAGATAAGCCGTAGCAGTATCTTGCCGACGACCATCCTTGGATACATATCGGAGCCATCGCTCAACACCATTGTTGGCGTCGAGAGTTTGCAAATCATGAACCTCTGGCCAGCCGACTTGAGACACCCCGTTGATGAAGTCGCTTTCTGGGTTCTTGGAACGGTATGTGCCGTCAGAGATATGAACCGGGCCGTCAAAGCCGTGGTGTTCCGGGTTACCTCGGCCATGGTATGTCTCAAGCTAGACGGAATTAGCGAAAGTCTAAGAATACCCCAGAGTAACTCAAAATGCATACCTTCTTCAAAAACGGAAAGATCTCATCAGCAGACCATCCTGGTGACTTCCAAGAGTCGAAATCTGCTCGCTGAGCGCGAGTGTACATCATAAAATTGATCGACGAGCCTCCACCAAGCGTTCCGCCACAGGGAACGATGGACTCGCGTCCAGCCAGGTTGTCTGACTTGTTCGCCTTGTAGAACAAGGTCGTGGTGGAGGTCGGCAGCAAGTGATCCAGGAAGAAGACAGGGTTCTCAATGCTCTCGACCCCACGGTTATCTTGCCCGCCTTCAATTAGAAGGATAGACAGATTTGGATCAGCCTCCGCCAGACGCCCGGCAACGACACATGCTGCCGTTCCGCCTAGTTCACGTAATTAGCAGTGTCGGTAGGTTAGTTACAGGACAAGCGCACCTCCAGCGATGATAACGTCGACTTCGGTAATGTCGCTAGCGAGTTTGGTATATAAACCCATGGTCAAGACTGGACGATCTTTTCGGCAACGGGGTTAGAAGGTCGGAAATGGGATTAGGAGAGGGTATTGAACGAGTCGTGCTTGGTGATTCAGAAAGAGAATGTCCCTCGTGAGGGGAAGTTATATATATACCTGCAGCTCGTGTCACCATGGTTATTTCTTGCGGACAACCAGCCGCAGGATAACCCCGCGCGAGTCACCTGCAGGTCCTTCCAATATCTCAGCAACCCATCTCTGGACCCTTACAATCAGACTTTACTTGACGTAGGACGTTTCAACTGGGGTTGTCCAGACGCTGATCTGGTCGGGGTACGTTACACCCATCTGGGGCAATCTGAGAATGGTAAGGCGAGTTCCCCATATCTTCTAACTGGAATAAGGCTGGTGGATAGAGGCGATGAGGTCCGGGGAGCAGTGAGTGGCTCAGGAAGATTCTCGAGACTCCACTGGTTGTGCACCTTGCGGGTTGTTAGCTCAAGCCCAGGGTCACTTGAGCGGTCCAGACGCGGGAAAGTGCTTCGTTGTTCCTTGGATGCAACTCAGAGCTTGAATTGGTAAGGCAGCGAGCTGTAGCTAGTCCTGATTTGATCGCTACCTCGGTTGCTCGGTTACGCTTTGGAATCTTGGATCAACAGTTCAGCTTTGGAAAATGATCGATTCAAGACTGGTGACGACTCAATTGACTTGCAGCTAGTCATTGTTCGCCACTTGAGCTGTACCAGCGCACAGCTAACCGTTTCTAGCTTGTTGCACTAATAATTTCTTCTGTGCTGCAAGCCCCGTTACAACGCTCCTAACAACTCAACTCAAGCCGGCTTTTTCAGCGGCTTAGCTTGGGGAGGGAGGTGCCTTAAATTAAGTTATATTTTAAAAGTTAGGCTTAAATTAAATTAACTAACTTAGGTAATATAGGTTAGATAGCTATAGGAAATAGCCCTACCTATTTTTTATAACTAGCTTTTCGAAGTATTATATTACTTTTATTACCTTTAGATTTAGATTATAATATTAATCTAATAATATTATTCTAGCTTAACTAAATAACCTCTTTACCCTAGCTAAT